CTGCAACCTCTGCCTCCCAGGTCCTGGTTCAAGCAATTCTCTTGCCTCAGCCTCCTGAATAGCTGGAATTACAGGCATGTGCAACCATGTCCAGCTAATTTTTGCAGTTTTAGTAGAGGTTTCACCATGTTGGCCAGGCTCGTCTTGAATTCTTGACTTCGCGATCTGCCGGCCTCCGCCTCCCAAAGTGCTGGGATTACAGATGTGAACCACCACCCCTAGCCAAATTCTAAGTGATATCTGGGAAATTGTCTGTTGCCTCTTGGTTGGCAGAAGCTGTTTCTCCTGTTTTCTTTTCTCTCTCTCTCTCTCTCTTTTCTCTCCTTCCTTTCCTTACTTTCTCTGTTTCTCTCTCTCTCTCTCTCTCTCTATCTCTCCCTCTCTCTTTCTTTTTCTGACATGGGTCTCACTCTTTCACCCAGGCTGGAGTATAGTGACACAATCACAGCTCACTGCCATCTCTGCCTCCTAGGTTCAAGTGATCCTCACACCTTAGCCTGTAGCTGGGACTACAGGCACAGGCCAGCATGCTGGCTAATGTTTCTTTCTGTGTTTTAGAGAAATGAGGTCTCACCATGTTGCCCAGGCTAGTTTTGAACTCCTGGAATCAAGTGATCCTCCTGCCTTGGCCTCTCAAACTACTGGGATTATAGGCATGAGCCACCATGCCTGACTTCCTGTTATCTTAAAATGATCAAGCAATCCTTTGCTAGCATTAAATTCTCCGGCTTTAGATCTTTCATCTCGCTTTTGTTTAAGGAATCATATGATGACTTAGCTTTTTCTCTAATGGTATTAGCGTCTGTAGGCATGCCTTTCTTATAACAATGCTATACCCACACAGAGGCTGCATTTTCAATAAAAAATAGAAAGGTATTTCAGAAAATGTTAGAGGTGTTTCGTTTTTTGGGGTAGCTGCAGTGACAGCTTCATGAATTTCCTTTTCTTTTTTGACAATGGTCCTTATGCTGGATTCATTTATCTTGAAGAAGTGGACAGCTGCTACAGAAGACCTCAACCTACTGTACATATCAAGTAATTCGGCACTTTCCTTGTTGTGACTTTTCTCTGCTTCTTGAGAACACCTACAGCATCACTAGTGCCACTTCCCATGGGTCTGTGGTGGCATTCAAGGTTTATGTTACTGCACTAAACACAATGAAAAATTCTCGAGAACTGCAAGAGATCATTTTTTACTGTGATATAAAGTTTACTAGAGAGAGAAACTGCTGATGCAGAAATGGTAACATCACATGGCATTTTAAGTGGTTGCTCACAGTTGAACTCACTGCAAAGCACCAGAAGGTGGCTATAAAATTATTATACTAGAAGTTAGTTTTTTGCAGTTATGATTAATACTACATCTTTATGTTTCTCTTTCCTGCGAATAGCGCTATGTATGTTACAGTTGTAAATGATAAAATATACACAAAGTTGAGTGTGGTGGTCTGTGCCTACAGTCCCAGCTACTTGGAAGGCTGAGGTAGGAGGATCAGTTGAGCCTGGGAGATCAAGGCTGCTGTGAGCTGTGCTCGTGCCACTGTACCACTCCAGCCTTGGTGACAAAGCGAGACCCTGTCTAAAAAAAAAAGTTCTTAGTATGTGATGGGATCCTAATCCTTGTCAACCATTATGAACAGATGGGTGCCTGTATGAGAACTTAAAGGGGAGGCATGTTTGCACTTCAACCAGGATTAATTTCCACTTGGGCAGCAGTTAGTCTTTGGTTAAACTTTTTTGTTGTTGTTTTTTGAGACAAAGCCTTGTTCTGTCACCCATGCTGGAGTGCAGTGGTATAGGTTCACTGCAACCTCCATCTCCCAAGTTTAAGCAATTCTTGTGCTTCAGCCTCCTAAGTAATTGGGATTACAGGCGTGTACCATCACACCCAGCTAATTTTTATATTTTTAGTAGAGATGGGGGTTCTCCATGTTGGCCACACTGGTCTCAAACTCCTGGCCTCAAATGATCCACCTGCCTTGGCCTCCAGAAGTGCTGGGATTACAAGTGGAACCCACTGTGCCTGACCTCGGTTAAACTCTTACTAAGTTAAATTGCATTAAAGGAACTTAGGTCCTTTGTCTCTCCTTGTCAGTCAGCATCACCCTGTGACAAGAAGAGACAAAGTTCTTTAATGCAATTTAACTTAAGAGTTTAGTAGGATTATTTAACTAATACTTGATTAAAAATCAACTATTAGTTAAATAATCCTACAAGTAAACATTAGATTGCAACAGTAAATGCTTCAAAAGTATTATAAATGATAGCACAAGAGGGATTATTGATCTGGTTGGGGAGGTTGGGAAGCCTTTCCTCATTAGGTGATGCTTTAAGATGGATAGGTGTCTATTAACTAGTGGAGAGACCCTGGTAGAGAGTATTCCAAATAGAGGAAACAAGCCTTATTTTAAAGGCCCTGTGGCAGGGAAATGAAAAAAGACCACTGAGTGTCTGCAATAGAAGGGTGGAACAATGGTGTGATATGAGGCGGGAAAGGTAGACAGGAGTTAGAATGGATAGGGCTTTAAATACACAGATTTTTCATTTTTATCCAAAGAGTGCGAAGTCATTGACCATTTTAAGGTGGGTGGGTAGTAGGAGTGAGTGAGTGTCAGTTACCTGATCAGATTAGTTTCTGAATAGATAGCTGTATTTGAAGTGAATTAATGCAGGAACAGAAAACTAAATGTTACGTGTTCTCACAAGTGAAAGTTAGACATTGGGTACTCATGGACATAGAGATGACAGCAGTAGTTATTGGGGTCTGCTAGAGGAGGGAGGGAGGAAGGGGTTCGAGAACTGTTGGGCACTAAGCTTAGTACCTGTGTGATGGGATCTTTTTGTACCACAAATCTCAGCATCACCAAATACACTCAGTAACAAACCTGCACATGTACCCCTGAAATCCAAAATAGAAGTTGGAGGTGCGGGGAGGATAGCTGTAAACATGGTAGGGAGAACATACCACATTTATTTAGATGTTCTTCAGGTGAGAGATTAAATTGGACTGTGGTCATGGTATGGTGGTGGTTAGGATTTTGAAATACGAGTTGGTAAAAAGTGTGAGAGGAGACAAATATGGGGAAAACTGGGCAGATTTCAGAGATAAAAAGGGCAAAAATGAATAAAATTGAATGTTGTAAGGGATGCTAGAGTAAAATGTATGGAGGATTTTCTAAGTTTGTAGTTAATTAACCAAGAAATTCTTTTTGAATTGCATGTAAAATCTGTTGAAGTTGTTTCTGCAGTGTTCTGATGGCCAAAGTTTAGTTTCCAGACTTCTAATATCTTACAATATTATACTTAAAAATCAGCATTTATGCATACAATAGAACTTTTAATCAGTATTCATTTAAGTTTAGTTGTCTGTTGCCTGATTCCATCACATTGAAGTAGTATTCTTTCCCTTTGCTTATATGAGAAATTTCAAAACAAAGATTTGGAGGTAGGCCAGTTTCTGTGGCTCATGGTTATAAACCCAGCACTTTCAGAGGCCAAAGTAGGCAGATAGCTTGAGTCCAGGAGTTCAAGACCAACCAGGCAACATGGTAAAACCCCACCTCTACAAAACATAAAAAAATTAGCCTGTGTGGTAGCATGCACATATAGTCGTCCCAGCGAAGGCTGAGGTGGGAGGATCATTTGAACCCAAGAGGTAGAGCCCGCAGTGAGCCTTGATCGTGCCCCTGAACTCCAGCCTAGATGGCACAGTGAGACCCTGTCTCAAAAAAACAAAAATTAAAAACATATTGGGGAATGGGGTGGGATTCTTGTTAAACATTAAAGCCCTTGTTTTTTTTTTTTTTTTTTTTTTGAGACAGTCTCCCTCTGGAGACTCCCAGACTGGAGTACAGCAGCATGATCTCAGCTCACTGCAGCTTCTGCCTCCTGGGTTCAACCAATTCTCCTGCCTCAGCTTCCCGAGTAGCTGGGATTACAGGTGCCTGCTACCACACCAAGCTAATTTTTTGTGTTTTTAGTAGCAACGGGGTTTCACCGTATTGGCCAGGCTGGTCTTGAATTCCTGATTTTAGGTGATCATCCGCCTGCCTAGGCCTTCCAAAGCGCTAGGATTACAGGCACTAGCCACTATGCCTGGCCAGAGCCCTTGATTTTTAAAAACAGTTTTATTAAGATACATAGCATAAAACTAGTCAACATAGAGTATACAATTCAGTGGTTCTGTGCAACCATCACCACATTCCCATTTTAAAATACTTTCATCATCCCAACAAGAAACACTCTACTCATCAGCAGTGATTCTTCATTTATCTCTAAGTCTTTCAGCCCTAGACAACCACCAATAGATTTGCCCTTTCTGGATATTACATATAAATGGAATTATATAATATATTGCCTTTTTTATCTGGCTGCTTTAGTTTATCATAATGTTTTCAAGGTTTATTCGGGTTGTAACATGTGTCAGTACTTTTTTTTTTATGGCTCATATTTCATTGAATAGATATTTGTTTACTTATTAGCTGACATACATTTGGGTGTCTGCCTTTTTATGAATTTTATATGAATAAAGTTACAGTGACCACCTATGTACAGGTTTCTTTTTCTTTCTTTCTTTTTCAACCCTCAGACAGGAAAAAGTATCATGTACAAGTTCTATGTGATTTTATGTTCTCAGTTCACTTGGGTGCATACCTAGAAGTAGAATTGGCTGGGTTATATATTGACTGTGTTTAATCTTTGGAGGAACTGTCAAGCTGTTTTCCAAAGCTGCTGTGCAACATTTTTCATTCCTGCCAGTATTGTCTGAGGGTTCCAGTTTCTCCACATCCTTGCTAACACTTGTTACTGTCTTTTGATTATAAGGAAGTAAGTGTGAAGTGGTAGCTCATTATAGTTTGATTTGCATTTCCCTGATGGGTAATGATGTTGAACTTGATTGTGGTTTCATTGAAAATATAAAAATGAACATATTTGATAGTTGCATGTAATTGCTGGGAGAGTTTTGCTGTATGTAAAATTTGTTATTCTTTTTTCATCAGTTGTATTCCCTGAATGACTATAAACCACCCATTTCTAAAGCGAAAATGACCCAAATTACTAAAGCAGCCATCAAAGCTATTAAGGTGAGTAATAAATTTTACTCTTATATTTTCAAAAGAAAAACTATATTAATAGTTTGGATGGGGGGTAATTTTTATGGATTATGTGTTCTTTCTCACTTTACAGTGTTAACACATATTGTGGAAAAACACAAAAAAGAAAATCTGTCATCTGTAGACACTCCCATTTAAACAATGTTTATTTTAAAATTATTATTATATTTTAGCGACAAGGTCTTATTCTGTCACCCAGGCTGGACTGCTGTGGCACAATCATAGCTCACTGTGGCCTTGACCTCCTGGGCTCAAGTGATCCTCTTGTCTCAGCCTGCCAAACATTTAATATCTTAATAAATATTTTTCCTTAAATGTTGTTCCATAAATTTTTTTGAAGCAGTCCTTTTTCCTTAAATTTCTTAGGTAATATTTTTGATATATCCACTTTATGGAGAATGTGTTTAACACTGTCTTTTGCCATACTAACTTGGTAGAATCTTGAAATACGAATTGATAAAACGTTTCTGTATATTGATATATTTATTTTTTTCTTATTGATTCTATTATTATAGGTTAGAAAATAGTCCCTCAGGGGATGTAATTATGCCTCATTCTACTTAAGGTATTTGAACTGTGGGAAAAGGCCATAGGCATTTAACCATTGCTCTGATAAAGTAGGTTTTGAACCTATATTGACTCGTGGATACTTCTGAAAATGTCAGGAAAAGGTTGGATTGTCTCTGGAGAAATACATATATGCACAAAATTTTATAGAAAATTTTCTGGCAAAAGAATCTTTTCAAGGTCAGCCATAGCCCAAAGAAATCCCCAGGGATTCTCTCAATTAGTAGGCCTCTTAAAATTGGGAATGAATGAGTACTTATTTCTAATTAAGTAGGTATTAACCTATGACTATTCAGTGATAGGTTTTCCTGCTCGTAATTAAAATATTAACCATAACCAAAAGCACCAAGTATTTAAATTATCTTTTAAATAATAGCAGTGTATTAGATTTAACAAATTCCTATCTACTAGTAATTACTACTGGGAGAAAATTGAGATAATTAGTTGGTTTTGCAGTTTTCTAGTGGCTAAAGCTTAGTTTTCAGACTTGTTACTCTCTTACATCTATAGTTAAATTCATGTAGTTACATGCCAGAACATCAGAGAGGACAACAACAATAACAGTAAGCACTTTGAAGTGAGACAATTTTTCAAAGACATGATTTTTTAGAGTACTAGATAGACTCACTATAGAATGATTTTATTCTCTTGTATTTTATGCTATTCTACATTATGATCTGACTTTTATGATCATGATCATTTTAGAGTATGCAAACATGTATTAGTTTTACTCTCTGAAAATTAGTAATTGATGCACTTTATATAACTTGTCGAGCAGAGTACTTTCTTAATAGAGTCAATGAGGTATAGGTCCAAACAGAATTTTTTTTTTTTTCAGATGTCAGATGGGTCTGAGAAAAATTAAGTAATTTGCAGTAGTAGGAGTAAATATAGCTAGAATTAAAATCCAGAACTCTGTCAACCAAGAGTCTAACTTTTTGGACACAGTGGCACACATCTGTGGTTCCAGCTACTGGGTAGGCTGAGGCAGAAGGATCGCTTGAACCCAGGAGTTTGAGGCCAGCCTGGCAACATAGTGAGACCCTGTCTCAAAGTTTTTTTTAAAAAAAGTACTTAGAAGATTAAATGTTTTTTAAAAACAGTGTAATATTTATTATTATGATATATTTTACTATTTTGACTTATTTTTAACGTTTTGAATTTTGAAAAAATTTAAACATAAGTTCAAATTATTATGGTGAGCAGGACATATTATTCCCTTGGATTTGCCAATTGTTAATGTTTTGCTACATATGGAAGTTAGTTTCAGACTTCATTCATAATAACAATCCTTGATACATGCTTGAATTTGAAACTCCTGAGAATAAAGACATTTTCCTAGGGAACCATAATATACCAATCACATGCAAGAAATTTCACTTTTACTTTGATATAATATTTTTTATATATTATACAGTTCATTCTTACTTTTAATGTTGTTGCATTGTTGACTAGTAGCTGTTGCTTTCAACCCTGTTTTTTTCAGAATCCAGTCGAGATCACACATTATACTTACTTGTCGTGTCACACAGCCCTTGTTTTTTTGTGACATTGATGTTTTTGAAGAGTCCAGACCAGTTATTTTTTACTACTTTGTTATTTTAAATGGCATTTAGGATATATGTGTGTGTGTCTGTGTGTGTGTGTGTGTGTGTGTGTGTGTGTATAATACCTGGTATTGTAAACTACATATTATTAATACATCAGATTTAAATGATACTGTGTTTCATATTGAGGTAAGTCATTGTTTTTTATATAGAAGTAATTAATGAGTGATGATGGTTAATATTACACTGTCAACAAAACCTCCCAGATAACCTATTGTGGAAGAAGGCCTATGAGAATTACTAAACTTTCAGTTAAGATTTAGGAAGCAGTTTTATTCTAATTATGTATAGTAACTAGAAGCAGAGAACACTGGCAAGGTGTCTTCCAGAAGAATTCTTTATTCATGTGTAGTTACTTAATATTTTGCATATTGATTTTTAAATGTTTAGGTGCCTATAAAGTGCCCACTTAAGTAGTTGTTTTAGCTTTTTTATTTAAATAACTGAAACCATTGAGTAAATTGTTACTTTATTGTAAGTAACTTTAGCCAAACTTAAACTTTGGGTTTGGTTTGATTTGGTGAATATGAGTTCATGACGTTTTCCTTTATTTTTGATTTTATAAATACTGGATTTAGTGCTGAGGTTTAGTCAAATGTTCATATTTCTTCTGTCTAGGGGAATGTTCCTTAAAAAGCATAATTCATGAGAAGAAAAGTATAAAGGGGTCCAAGCGCGGTGGCTCATGCCTGTAATCCCAGCACTTTGGGAGGCCGAAGCAGGTGGATCAGTTGAGGTCAAGAGTTTGAGACCAGCCTGGCCAACCTGGTGAAACCCCATCTCTACTAAAAATGCAAAAATTAGGCGTTGTGGCGTGCTCCTGTAGTCCCAGTTACCCGGGAGGCTGAGGCAGGAGAATCATTTGAACTTGTGAGGCAGGAGTTGCAGGGAGCCGAGATTGCGCCACTGTACTCCAGCCTGGGCAACAGAGTGAGACTTTGTCTCAAAAACAAAAAAAAGTATAAAGAGAAGCACAACTTAAGTTGGTTATTTAAACAGAAATAATATGCTAATATGGTATTGTTATTGTGGTATTAAAATTTATTAGGCACAAATTCTATATACTTTATGCTAAATTTATAATTCATCTCAAGTTTATTCATAGTACTATATTTTATGAAACTTAAATCTAAGTTTCTCACAATTGATAGTGGCCCATTACTAATTTTTATTCTACATGTTCACTTCCGCTAATTCATGTTGTCTGATCCATTAGGATATTATACATTGCTGTGTTTTATATTCTTGCAGTTCATTTTCCAGGAGAAGTAGAAGGAGATAAATGAAGTTGAAAACAACTACCTTACATATATTTATTAATGTTATTTGTAGTTATCTTTTCTAATTTACCTTGATTTAACTGAAAAATTATACTGTGTCAAATCTGTACTTTTCCTTTCATGAAATTAAGAATATACACCCCCCAGTACTTACCACAAGTGTTTTGCTGTCAACACAACCGTTTGTTAAAGTATGCTTTCAGAAAGTCTTCAATAGCGTTATTTTATATCTATGGCAAGGCAACATACTTTGGGCACACTGATTACCTACTTCAAAGAAGCCCTTTACTAATTATATAGCACAGCTGGTTGCATATGGTGAAGTGACAAAAATGTTTGTCTCAGAATTCTTGGTTAAGATAATTGTTCAGATAGACCTTTGGAGCTATGTAAACCTATCATTAGCAGGAAATTTTAGTCTGAAACTGATTTTAAAACCATACTTCATTTTTTTCCTCTTTTAGTTCTATAAGCATGTGGTACAGAGTGTTGAGAAGTTTATTCAGAAAGTAAGTATATAATTTTCCATACTTGTGCTAAATGTACTATAATTGTAGATTAATTCCTGTACTTTTCTCCTTTAGATCAAATACACAAGCTTAAGTTGTTTTGATGGACTGTTAAAAAGTGATTCCAGTTATTTTATTTTCTAATTAAGAAATGAAAATGCCTTTCAGATAATTGTGCTTAGGTTTGTATTCTGCCTATGTTCATGTGCCTAAATGTAAGCAGCGCCAGTTTGAGAATCAGTGTCATGTGGCTTTAAGAATTCAGCAATGTTTCAGTGTGTTTATGTTCTTCATCTGGGAGAAAGGTGCGGGATTTGAAGTGAGATTTCAGTCATTCAGCTAGCTAGGTAACTGAATAAGTCAGTTAGCCTTTATGTGATTCAGTTCTTTTTTCTTATTTTTAAGTTCTTGTTTTCTCAATATTTGAAATATAGTATTAATAGGCTGGGCACAGTGGCTCACACCTGTTATCCCAGCACTTTGGGAGGCCAAGGTGGGCAGATCACTGGAGGCCAGGAATTCAAGACCAGCCTAACCAAGATGACAAAAGCCTGTCTTTACTAAAAGTATAAAAATTAGCTGACATGGTGGCGGACATCTGAATCTCAGACTTGGAAGGCTGAGGCACCTAATTGTCTGAACCCAGGGGAAGTTGCAGTGAGCTGAGATTGCACCACCTCACTTCAGCCTGGACCACAGAGTGAGACCCTGTCTCAAAAATGTCTGTGTGTGTGTGTGTTTGGTGTAGTATTGATAAAACATATTTGGAGATTAAGTAGTTAGGTAACTTGTAGCTAAGATACAGGGTTGAATAACAAGTATGCTGTCTGTTTCAGTTAAAGTATAAAACTGTTAGTGATTAGAAATTTTATTTGGCCTAAAGCTTTTAAAAGTATTTCTCAGAGATTGTTGTTCTGATTAAAGATCTTTTTTTAAAAGTTTTAACATCTGGTTTTTTTTTTGAGACTGAGCCCAGGCTGGTCTCAAACTCCTGAGGCTCAAGCAATCTGCCAGCCTTGACCTCTCTCAAGCCGCCAGGATTGCAGACATGAGCCAGAGTCCCCAGCTGTTTCTGTCTTATAAAGCTAAGATACAATCAGCATATCTCACTCTGTAGCCCAGGCTGGAGTGCAGTAGCATTATCTTGGCTCACTGCAACCTCTGTTTCCTAGGTTCAAGCAATACTCCTGCCTCAGCCTCCCTGGTAGCTGGAATTAGAGACATGTGTCACCATGCCCAGCTACTGTTTTTGCATTTTTAGTAGAGATGGGGTTTCACCATGCTGGCCAGGCTGGTTCTTGAACTCCTGATCGCAAATGATTCGCCCACCTTGCCTCCCGAAGTGCTGGGACTACAGGCCACTGTCCCCAGCCAAAAAGTTATAATGTCTTACGCTGTGCCTTTTAATCTTTCTGAATGGGAATTACCTAGAAATTTTGTTAAAAATGTGGATTCTAATTCACTGAATGTGGAGAGGAACCTGAGATTCTGCATTTATAACAGTTCCTAGATGATGTTTCTTCACAAACCACAATTTGAGTAGTAAAGTTTTAAAGAATAAAAGTGAATTTATGGATATATGCTTATTGACTGATTTGATTTGGAATAGGGTACTTTGAATAAAATGTTTCAGAATCTTAGGAAGACCTGGATTGGGCAAAGTTACTCCATCATGAGATAATTACAGTCAGTCTGAAGAGGCCAGTGTGTGTGGAAAAAGTTGAATGTTTTACCCCTAACCCTGTTTAAATCAGAGATCCAGCAGTAGATTTGTGTAATGGTTAAAATTTGTGTGTGTATGTGTGTGTGTGTGTGTGTGTGTGAAACTTATTTTGAGCTAATTGTAGATTCACATGTCATTGAATCAGTAGGAATAAAACATGTAGAGATCCCATGTGCCTGTCACTCAGTTTCCCCTGTGATAACATCTTGTAGAACTGTAGTAAAATATTACAACCAGGACATTGATACAGTCACCTATTGACACACTAACCTTATTCAGATTTTAATAGTCTTACATGCGCTCATTTGTATATGTATATGTTTAGTTCCATGCAATTTAATCACATGCATAGATTCATATAAATGTCACCACAGTCAAGATATAGGACAGTTCCTTCACCACAAGGATCCCTTGTGTTTCCCTTCTGTGTACTCTATAGTCACACTCAGTTCATTCTCCTCATCCCTAATGCCTGGCAGTCATTAATCTGTTCTTTTTCTCTATTTTGCATTTCAAAAATGTTATGTAAGTGGAATATTACAAAATGTACCTTTTGAGATTGGCTTGTTTTGGCCAGCATAATTCTCTTGAGATCTCACCATATCGTTGCATGTATCAAATAGTTCCTTCCTTTTTAAAAATTTTTTTATTGTTACTTTAAGTTCTGGGATGCAAGTGCAAAACATATAGGTTTATTACATAGATATACCTGTGCCATGGTGGTTTGCTGCACCTATGAACTAGTCATCTAGGTTTTAAGCCCCACATGCATTAGCTATTTGTCCTAATGCTCTCCCTCCCCTCACCCTCCCACCCCCAACTGGCCCTGGCATGTTTTGTTTCCCTCCCTGTGTCCATGTGTTCTCATTGTTCAGCTCTCACTTATGAGTGAGAATATGGAATCTTTGGCTTTCCATTCCTATGTTAGTTTGCTGAGGATGATGGCTTCCAGCTTCATCCATGTCACTGCAAAGGACCTGATGGTTCCTTTTTATGGCTTCATAGTATTCCATGGTGTATATGTACCCACATTTTTTAAATCTAGTCTATCATTTATGGGCATTTGGGTTTATTCCATGTCTTTGCTATTGTGAATAGTGTTGTAGTAAACATATGTGTGCATGCATCTTTATATTAGAATGATTTATATTCCTTTGGGTATATACTCAGTAATGAGATTGCTAGGTCAAATGGTATTTCTGGTTCTAGATCCTTGAGGAATCACCACACTGTCTTCCACAATGGTTGAACTAATTTACGTTTCCACCAAGAGTGTAAAAATGTTCCTGTTTCTCCACAGCTTCGCCAGCATTTGTTGTTTCTTGACTTTTTAGTGGTCACCATTCTGACTGGCGTAAGATGGAATATCATTGTGGTTTTGCTCCCAACACTTCTTAAGCTGATAACAAACCTTAGCAAAGTCTCAGGATACAAAATCAATGTGCAAAAATCACAAGCATTCCTGTACACCAACAATATACACGAAGCAGAGAGTCACATCATGAATAAACTCCCATTCACAATTGCTACAACGAGAATAGAATACCTAGGAATACAACTAACAAGAAGTGTGAAGGATCTCTTCAAGGAGAACTACAAACCACTGCTCAAGGAAATCAGAGGACACAAACAAATAGAAAAACATTCCATCCGCATAGGTAGGAAGAATCAATGTTGTAAAAATGGCCATACTGCCCAAAGTAATTTATAGATTCAATGCTATTCCCATCAAACTACCATTGACATTTTACACAGAAGTAGAAAAAACTTTGAATTTCATATGGAACCAAAAAAGAGCCCATATAGCCAAGACAATCCTAAGCAAAAAGAGCAAAGTTGACGGCATCACATTACCTGACTTCAAACTATACTACAAGGCTACAGTAACCAGAAGAGACATAGAGTTTCTTCCTTTTAATTTCTGAGAAGTGTTTCAGGGTGTGAATTTACCACAGTTTAACCATTCAGTCCTTGGGGATCATCTGGGTTGTTTCTAGTTTTTGGTTATTAGAATAAATCCTCTAGGAACATTTGTATGCCCAAAGTTTTTTTGTGAATGTAAGTTTTCATTTCTTTGGGATAGTAAGTACATGTTTTCATTTTATAAGAAACAAACAAGCTTTTCCAGGATGACCATACCATTTTATATTCTCTTCACATACCAAAAATGGTGTAAGGGAGAAGAGTGGCTGCAGTTTGGTAATGTGTTATCCATGAAACCATGTTTTAGTTATGAAAGATTTATGGAGTAATAAATGATGATGGTAAATGAAAAATCAACAGTAAAGATATTTCCTGTAGGCCAGGAAAACTACTCTAAAGAATAGTCTGGCCTTTGTCCCAATTAATTTTGTCAGAAATCAGTTCATATGCTGAATGTATCTTAGCTTTGTAAGACAGAAAGAGCTGGGGACTCTGGCCCATGCCTGCAATCCTAGCATCTCGAGAGAGGTCAAGGCTACAGATTGCTTGAGCCTCAGGAGTTTGAGACCAGCCTGGGCAATCATGGGAAAACCCTGTCCCAGCCCCAAAACTACAAAAATTAACTGAACAGAGTGGCAAGTGCCTCTAATCCCAGCTGCTTAAGTGGCTAAGATGGAAGGATTGCTTGAGTTCAGGAGGAGGTTGAGGCTGTAGTGAACTGTACCACTGCACTCTAGCCTAGGTAACAAAGCAAGACCTTATCTCCAAAAAAAAAAAAAAAAAGCAGCAGCAAAGGCCAGAGTTACAGACAGATACAGGAAACTTTAGAAGACACGTTTTAGAACTTCCGTTTGAATCCTGTTTCAGGGTTCTCTAGAGGAACAGAACTAATAGGATATGTGTGTATATATCCTATTAAAATGAATAAGGGTGTGTGTGTGTATATATATTTATATATAAATGGAAGTTTATTAAGTATTAACTTACATGATCACAAGATTACAAGGTCCCACAATATGCTGTCTGCAAGCTTGAGGAGCAAGGAGAGCTAGTCCACATCTCAAAACTGAAGAACTTGGAGTCCAGTGTTCAAGGGCAGGAAGCATCCAGCACGAGAGAAAGATGTAGGCTGAGAGACTAGGCCAGTCTCTCCTTTTCACATTTTTCTGTCTGCTTTATTTTTGCTGGCAGCTGATTAGATGGTGCCAACCCAGATTAAGGGTGGATCTGCCTTTCCCAGTTAACTGACTCAAATTTTATTCTCCTTTGGCCACTCCCTCACAGACACACTCAGGATCAATACTTTGTAATCCAGTCAAGTTGACACTCAGTATTAACCATCACAGATGCCTGTATTTGCATTATAAATAACTAAGTTATCCTGAATCCTAAGGGCAATAAATTTTATTTAGAGCCAGAGACCTCATGATTTGGTGACTTTTCTACCATCCATAGCTAATCATTCTGTTTTCATTTGCTAATTTGAAATGCAAAAATGAAATCTTCAGCTCTGTTCCAAAAATACATAGAGTTTAGCCAACTCTTTTTGTCTGTATGAAATCCTCTGCTTTTTTGCATGAGTACTACAAACAAATCTGTCCACTAGATTCAGAATAAGATTGAATATTATCATTCAGAACTATTTATTTTGATTCTGGATGCTTTGTTACAGTGAAATACATTCTATGGTACTGTGGCTGCTCTTAGATACTGTAAGGCCTAGAATAAATGTTATCTTTCTGGCTCTGAAAATGGTCTGTAAATGAATTACTGTTGCCTTAATCTGTAAATTTTTGGCTATGATTACCTTCTTCAAATTTCCTGCTGCATACTTAGTAAGAGCAGGAAATTTGGCTTATTCGTGGTGATTTTCAAGTTACATTTACTTTGTAAATAATAAATGAAAAGATGGTGCTAAACCCTCCAGAGATTATCATCATGGAAGTTTTTTGTGTTCTAGAAACTTGATCTGGTAGCTTTATGCACATTATAGGTGGTTGATATTTTTCAGTGAAGCCAAACGTTTATGCTCTTTGATATTTTTCCAGAGGATGGATTGAGTCCACATTGAAAGATGGTTGTCAGCTAGGCGTGGCTAATGCCTGTAATCCCAGCACTTTGGGAGGCCAAGGTGGGCAGATCACCAGAGAGGTCAGGACTTTGAGACCAGCCTGGCCGATAAGGTGAAATCCTGTCTCTGCTAATAAAAAAATGAGCCAGGCGTGGTAGCACATGCCTGTAATCCCCCCTAATCAGAAAGCTGAGACAGAAGAATTGCTTGAACCCACGAAATGGAGGTTGCTGAGCTGAGATTGTGCCACTCACTGCCCTCCAGCTTGGGTGACAGAGAGATACTGTGTTATTTAAAAAAAAAAAAAAAAAAAGGATGGCTGTTATATTTCCCTCTGGTGTCTTGAGAAAGAGAGAGAGATTTTATATATATCTGTAATTTTTTTTAATGTAGGGTGTATTATTCTGTAACTGGACTTCTATTGCAAGTATGCCTTTATCCTTGGAAGTAGGATTCAAAAATCTGAGTTTTTAAAGATAATTTGGTACATGGGTACAAACAGTTTGAAAGGAATATATTTTCAGAATCTCACTTTCCATATGTATTTTTATTAAAGTCCCTCTTCCCTAGGATATTTTAGATCAAGTTAAGTTCCACACTTCTTAAATTTACATTTCAAATATATCTTAAACTTATCAGTGATTCTTAATAATGATTAGAGAAAATTTTGCCTCTTGCTTTATTGAAGAAACCATGGATATTTATATACTTACAGTCACTCCTCTGTATCTGTGGGTTCCAATCCATGGATTCAGTCTGTTGGGATCAAAATTTGGGGAAAAAATATTCCACAAAATTCCCGAAAGCAAAACTTGAATTTTCTGCACACTGAATGCCATGTTAATGAAGTGATGTGTAGGCATTGTATTAGGTATTCAAAGTAATCTAGAGTTGATTTAAAGTATATGGGATGATGTCCGTAGGTTATATGCGAATACTATTCATTTTATATAAGGGACTTGAGCATCCTTGGATTTTGGTATCTGCAGGGGTTTTGGAACCAATTCCCCAAGGATATTAACAACTGTATTTCTTTTTATTGTGAAATATCTATGTACATCTGCGGAAAGTACAGAAAACAGTGTATACAGCCAAATTTTTATAAAGAGAAGACCTATGTAACTCCCACTCCATTTCAAGAAGTAGAAATTTGAAGTCCACAAACTCCAAGTGCCTCTTCTGATTATATCTTGCACACCACCTACCCAAGTAACCACAGTTTGACCTTTATGTCACATCTTTGCATTATAGTTTTACTTTATATGAAATGAATTCCTAAAATGGTTTAATGTATTTTAAATTTTTACTTATTGTAATCCTATGGTATATATTCTTTTTATACAGTTCTTCTGCTCAACATTATGTGTTTAGGATTCATCCCTGTGGTGTGTAGCAGTATTTATCACTATCTGTTTGTTGCTGTATAATTTTCATTATGTGAATAGACAGCAGATTGTCCACTCTCCTGTTGACATTGTGTGTTTTCTAGTTCTTGCAATTCTGAACAGTATTGCTGTGACTAGTGTAATACTGACATATGTAAGATAATGGTATCCTTATACAGTTTGCATTTCTGTAGGAGTGGAATTGCTGGTTATAGGATATGCATTTCTTCACGGTGGCTAGATGATACTAAATTAGTTTCATAATGATGGTGCTGATTTACACTCCTCCTCCCAATGCATGGGTTTGTGTTGCTCTGCATTTTTGTAAGCACTTGGTATTGTTAAAATTTTTCTAATCTATTGAGCCATCTTTCGTACATGCCACCGTTAGTAATAGTCAGTGCTTTGCAGGTAGCCACATGCTTCGGTTTCTACCACTCTAGCTTTGTTGTCTTTAAATTAATATTATTTTTTAGTCGCTTCAGGTGGCAACACAAATCTAATAATAGGATAATTATATAAGGTGTATTTGTATATTTCAAAGTATGTGGTCCAACTTACCTGGAAGATTCTTTGACAAGTAACCATAACTGATAACCTACAGGTGACAACTTGGATGACAAAATGAAAAATCATGCAAATATACTTACAGATGCATCCTCCTTATTCATTCTTACCTTTCTTCCCCTAAAAAGGTGAATTCCCTGTTAAATAAGAAATTGGAAATTACTAGAATATAGTTTGAAAATGGTATATCTATAAAAGCTTAATATGATATGCTTTTAAAAATTGTTTAGAGTAAAAATACATTGTGCCATTGTGTAACTCCCCAGTGGGTTCACCTTGCCCACTGTCTAGACAGAGCCAATTTATCAAGACAGGAGAATTGCAATGGAGAAAGAGTAATTCACGCAGAGCAAGAAACGGGAGTTTGATTGTTACTTAAATTAGTCTCCGAGAGCATTTGGGGATGGGGGAATCTGAGTTTTTGAAGATAATTTGGTGGGTAGGGGCTCAAAGTGGGGAGGGCTGTTGGTCAGGTTGGAGATGGAATCATAGGGAGGTCGAAGTGAGGTTTTCTTGCCGTCTTCTGTTCCTGGGTGGGATGGCAGAACTGGTTGAGCCAGATTACCAGTCTGGGTGGTGTCAGCTGATCCAGCCAGTGAAAGGTCTGTAGAATGTCTCAAGCACTAATCTTAGGTTTTATGATAGTGATGTTATACTCAGGAGCAATTTGGGGAGGTTCAGAGCTACATGACCCTAAACTGTAATTTCTAATCTTGTAGCTAATTTGTTTCTTACAAAGGCAGACTGGTCCCCAGGCAAGAAGAGTGTCTTTTTGGGAAATGGCTGTTATTGAATATTAATTTTGTTTCAGTGTCAAACCATAAACGAAATTCCTTCCCAAGGTAGTTTGGCCTGTGCCCAGGAATGACAAGGACAGCTTAAAGGTCAGAAGCAAGATGGAGTTTGTTAGGTCTAATCACTTTCACTCTCGAAACTTTCTCAGTTACCATTTTTGCAAAGACAGTTTCAATTGGAGAGTCTTAGGAATTCTCATTTTGAGTCTAATAGTACTTGAAGAGGAAAATTTTAAAGTATTTCAGATTTGTCTTGATTCTTCTCTCAAGTTTCTAGTTGATGACTTGGTGAAGTGTTCCAAGTATTAAATCATACTAAAGAATATTTTTTTTGCCACTTTATGTAGCAAAAATGCTTATTACCAGTGAAGGAAATTTTGTCCCACAACATGTTAATGTATACGTATCTAAAGATACCATGCAGTAAGCTTGCAAGTAAAAGGATTCTTCATTGGGCTTGCCTAACTACATTGGCTACAAAAGCCTGTGTTCAGAAAGTAGGGGAGACTGGGCATAGTGGCTCGTACCTGTAATCCCAGCACTTTGGGAGATTGAGGCAGAAGGATTGCTTGAGCCCAGGAGTTTGAGACCAGCCTGGACAACGTGGCGAAACCCAGTCTCTTCCAAAAAACCATTCAGGAATTAGCTGGGCTTGGTACTGTGTGCCTGTGGTCCCAGCTATCTGGAAAGCTGAGATGGAAGATCATTTGAGCATGGGGGGTCGGCATTGCAGTGAGCTATGATGGCACTACGGCACTCCAGGCTGGATGACATAAGGATAGATCCCCAGAATGTTATAGTTGAGAAAAAAATGGAAACTTTGTCCTCTGTATTTAGAATGTTATAATTTGCCGTTTGGCATTGTTCTTTCATTTGTATAGGAATCTTTTGTTGTGTGTTCCAGATGATGTCTGAGGCATGTTGGCTGTGTGTTTTCTAGAGCTCTTCTTCCCTGAATTGCTTTTTTCTTCCTTGTAGCTTTTCACATTGATTAAACAAATTTTAAAACTTGTAATGGTACCTTATTTATCATTTTGTTTTATGTCATTGAAGCCAGTTACGTAGTACTGTTTTAGAACTTAAGTGACTGGCAGTTCACCTGAATGTGTAGAGTAGCCAAAGTAGATTCTTTAAAATGCCATTCCAGAAACTGATGGGTTAGAGTAGTCAATGTATGAGTATTCATTAACTCAGCATTGGCAGTGTCTTTGTATTAATTACACAGGATTTATGATGATTTTTGTTTATCAAGAATTTTATCTTTCTATTTCCTTCCCTTTTCATTCTTCTTTTTTTCATCAGTGTAAACCAGAATACAAAGTACCTGGACTTTATGTTATTGACTCCATTGTGCGACAATCCCGACATCAGTTTGGTCAAGAAAAGGATGTGTTTGCACCCAGATTTAGTAATAACATCATTAGCACTTTCCAGAATTTATATCGTTGCCCTGGGGATGACAAGGTATGCCACTGTTTTTTGGTTTTTTTTTTTAAAAGGAGATACATTACCCTCTTGATCTTAGTCTTCATAGATTATTGTAGAATGTCATGTGCCACATAATGATGTTTCAATGACACTGCATATACAGTGGTGGTCTCCTAAGATTATAATACATAATTTTATACTACCATTTCTTATTTATGTACACAAATGCCATTGTGTTAAAATTGCCTACAGTATGCAATACAGTAACATGCTGAATGTCTTTGTAGCCTAGGAGCAATAGAATATGCCATATAACCTAGGTATGTGGTAGGCTATACCATCTAGGTTTGTGTAAGTACACGTCATACAACGATGAAATCTCCTAATGATGCCATTTCTCAGAACATATCCTTGTCATTAAGTGGCACAGGACTGTATATGGCTTTATGTTCTCATTTGCTCTTAGTTATTTCAAATTTGAATATTTAATTATAGTATCGATGTTCCTTTTTATTCCTTGAATTTCTTAAACAGAGAATATGGAAAGCTGTAGTAGATTGCTACTTTTTAATTTGTTGAAGCAGTTGGTGTTTAAAAAAAATGGCTACAATAAGCTTTTGGAATTACACTAAACTTTTATTCTCATACACAGTCAATTCAGAATTGTAATTATTTGAAATGAGTTGATACTTAACTGCATATTGAAATTCTTCTGTTATGGTAGAATTTTATTAATCATACTGCTAAGTCTGGTATCTGTTAAGATCTAAATGAATATTATTAGCAAGTAAAAAGAAAGCTTTGGATCATGAGGGAGAATGAAAAGGAGTTGCTTATCCTCTTATTTGCTCTGAGATTGTTAGCTTATTTATTTTGGATGTTGATTTGGAAATTTAGATGTGCTTTTTCTGACTGGGTTCATTGCAGTGTTGATTACTTAGGAAAAGATAAGAATAGATAAAGATTCATGTTTGTTTTATGGAAGAACCATAAAACTTTAAGCTCACCACAAATTGTTCAACTTTCTTTTGAATATAACAAGATTAAGTAGTTATTTTTCATAACTATTATATCATCCTGAAATAGAAAAAAATATTGTTATAATTGACAGCTATGGAGATAAATTGAGTATGCTGTGTTCTTTGTGAAGTATTCTTGGATATACTCCTTGAGACAAAGTGTTTTATTTTTGTTTTTAATCACTTTAGTACTTTGATAATTCTGTGCAGGCAAAAGAATGCTTCTAATTTTAAGTGACTTATCATAATTGATTTTTAAAATAGGTACCTTAGACTCCCACTTGAAGTAATATACTAATTTGAAATTTTTTACATACATTTTTTAAAAGTCACTTTACTTTGATTTAGAAATTTTACTAGTTTGGACTTGGATTTCTGTCAGTTCTAATGAAGAGATCGTTCTTGAATATGTAGATTGCATAACATAATATCTCACTTATACTGGGTCTTATGGAATAGGGGTTTTAACCGTAGGAGGAGAGAGTACATTAACATTGTAATCTCAGTCATAATAAATGAGGGACATTGGTTTGTATGTAGATACATAGAATGATGGCTGGTAGGTGCTGGCCAATTTTAAAGTATATGATGGGTAGCTTGGAAACGGAAAGATTTTTATATAAAGCAGAATAATATAAGGCATTTTCCAAGTGCCCATGTTTTAGAGCAGAGAAATAGTCAAATCAGAAGGCATGAAGCAGTCTCTGTAGAGACTGCTTTTTTCTTGAGCTTCATTTGAAATATACAAATTTGCACATTAATGTAGTTTGGACATAGTTTAAAAATATGTCACTGTAATATTGTGAGGGATTTAAAGGTGAACCAGATCTTTAATCTGAAAATTGCTATTTTACTTTGTAAAATGTATACATTTAACAAAATGCTCTTCTTTATACCTGATTTTAGCCTCTGCCATTTTTTTTTTCCTGGTGGAATAAGTGGCATCACAATAGTAGTAACTAGTACTTAGTGCTTGTTTGCAGAACATTTATGTGCTAAACAGTTGTGAATCAGATTGGTGATAGTGTCAAGAAAATAGTTATTACACAATCAGTCTGCTTTTACTAGTGATAATATGAGTTCAGGATATTGTTGCTCTGACATAAGTGCGTGCTCTGGGTGAAATGTTTTTATTTCAAGAAGCAAGGTATTTTAGCTGGACTTGCTGATGTTTCTTACAAAATATTGTAGGACATGTTGAGACATTGTTCTTCGTTGGGCATATTTTTCTTCCTGTAAGTTTGAAGCTTTCAGGATCTGTAAAACTTTTATATAACCAAGAGAGACATATGTATAAGTAGGAGGTTTTTCTAGTTATTACGTTTTCTCTAAATACTGCTAATTATGCTATTAGATTTCAGAATTACCCAAGAAATAGAAGTCAATAATAACTAGTCTTTTCAAGTTTATAATACACAGAATTTAGCAGAAGAATAGAATTTCCCAACAAAATAGATTTTAATATGAAATGACTGAGATTGGGGTATAAGTAGTTAACTAGAAGTACTTTATAGTATCGCTATAAGAAGAGCTGTAACTAATACATAAGGCGTATGTCTCCCTCCCAAGATTTACTCAAACTTTGAAAGTGGCTAGACGTTTAAAATAGTAGCCAACTTAAACAGTTTGATCAATTTGTTACAGTTGGAGATTGAGAAAAGGGACCGGAGAATCCTTCTGGTATACTGTCTTATTTTATAATAAGGACACTAAAGTTGTTGTTGTTGTTTTTTCAATATACTGATATAATTAGGCTGAGACCATGATCAGCAGCAACATTATATAGATAGTAAATATTTCATGAATTTTATAACAGCTGCATAAAGATTATTTGACTGACTAGAACCTTACAAAAAATACAAAGTACTCTGAATATTTTAGTAATCCAGAAAGGGGTTGAGACTATAACACAAATGTAATTTATTTGGTGGTAAAATGATTGCAGTGTGGGTTGGGATGGGCAATGTTGAGACTCTTTATGAGGAATATAAAATTGGATGTGGTGCTGCAGTTCAGGGGCATATCAAGAAGAGAAAATGAGATGGTTCACAGATGTCAAGTCTGCTTGTCAGTAGCAAGGAGGTTTTTAATTTTTTTTTTAATTTCAGAATGCTTACCATAAAATTACTGTAGGAAATGAAATAATATAGAACATTATTTGTACAGAGCATGATTCATCATTCTGAGGGCCAGATTAAGTAATGCCAGTATGACACTGACATTCTGCAATGGGAAAGGGAATAGAAAAGAATAAAGAGGGAATGAAGAGAGAAGAAATGGTTATGCTTCAGATTCTGTCTGTACAGAAGTTTGTCCATCTCTGGTTCAAAGTGTCATTACCGAATTAGCATGAACAGCAGGTTGCTCAAAAAAGGAAGTAATTTGATTGAATTCTTACATCAGGAAATGCCCTTTCCTTAAGTACTTTGTAAAATGAAACTTTAAAAAAAATCACATTAGTTAAGGACTTTGTCCTGCAAGTTACCTGTTTGCAAAAGATAGACATTGTATGAGACAAAGTTAAAGTCAATTGTAAATATAACATTAGTACTGAGATAAATCCTGGCTCTCCCTCAAAATCCTTAAGACAGATCTCCAGCCAACCTTACCATCCATATCATCAGAAGTAACATAAGAAATGAAGCCTAGATATCATCTCTGCCTTCAGCTAAACGGAGCTTTCATTTACTTTGTATATCTGTTAGAATTAACACGTGTTTTCAAGCACATTAAGGTTAGCAAATGCAAGATACGATGGAAGCATAGAATTTTAGGTCTACAAAGTACATTGAAGTATTTTAATCCCTTCTTTCCATCCTGGGCCCAGATAGCCACTGTGAAATGACTGTGCTAAGGGTTGTTTTTAATTAAAAAAAAAAAAAAAAATACTCTTCTTAAAAATTCAAATCACCTTACCAGTATGCTAATGTGCTAAGGTTTTGAGAGCAAAAAGCAAAATGTCATGTTTCTTTTTTTTTTTTTCTTTAGAGTAAAATAGTGAGAGTACTAAACTTATGGCAGAAGAATAATGTATTTAAGAGTGAGATTATTCAGCCTCTTTTGGATATGGCAGCTGGGATCCCACCTCCTGTTGTCACGCCTGTTTTAGCCAGCACTACCACTGCTATGAGCAATACTCCAGGTATGCTGCTTTAATATAGATTTGTTGTGTAAATATTGTACTCATACTTTTTGGATGACTTTTCATACAAAAAATAATTTGGTAGTGCAGGAATATTAGTCTAGAATTAGATAATTGAAAGAATATATAATTTGTAGAGAAAAATATAATTAGATATATTTGTATATGATTATTTCTAACATGTAGAAAACTGATTTTCTTTTTAATCTGCAGAAACATAAATATAATGAACTTTAGAAATTTGGTGTGTCAGTTAGGTTTTTCCTGATTTAGGTTGTCTGTAACCTCTTATACTTGCATTTATATCAACTTGGTATTTATAAAAATTTTTATCATAGTTCCAGCCTTGTGTAATGATTCACACCTGTAATCCTAGAACTTTGGGAGGCCAAGGCCGGCAGATCACCTGGGGTCAGGAGTTCAAGACCAGCTGAGCCAATATGGTGAAACCTTGTCTCTACTAAAAATACAAAAATTAGCTGGGTGTGTTAGCAGGCACCTGTAATTCCAGCTACTGGGGAGGCTGAGGCAGGAGAATCACTTGAACCTAGGAGGCAGAGATTGCAGCGAGCCAAGATTATACCATTGCACTCCAGCCTAGGCAACAAGAGTGAAACTCTGTCTCAAAAAAAAAAAAAAAAAAAAAAATTTTTTTTTCTTTTTTAAATCATAGTTACAAGAATTAAATTGGTTAGAATTTTGTTGTGTGTGTGTGTGAGAGAGGGGGAGAGAGAGAGAGAGAGAGAACTGATGTTTATTGAGACCTTGCTCTGTCACCCAGGCTGGGGTGCAGTGGTATGATCATAGCTCACTGCAGCCTTGACCTCCTGGGTCTGGTGATCCTTCCATCTCATCCTCCTAAGTAGGTAAGACTACAGGCGTGCACTACTATGCCTGGCTCATTTTTTTTCCTTTATTTTGGTGGAGATGGAGCCCTGCCATGTTGCCCAGGCTGGTCTTGAACTCCAGGGTTCAAGCAGTCCTTCTACCTTGGCCTCTAAAAGTGTTGGGATTACAGACATGAACCACGCTACACCTGGCCAAACGTGGTTTTATATTGCATATGCTGTATTATAAAAATTTTTTATTGGATTGTATTTTGGTTATTTCCTCATGTTACTGAATTTTTGTCTCTAAAGTAATTATTTTTAATGGGTATTAAGTATTTTAGGCTTTGTAAAAGTGCAATAGTCAGTCTTCCCACATCTACAGTTTTGCTTTTCATGGTTCCAATTACTTGCAGTCCACCGTAGTCTGAAAGTAGGTGAGTATAGTACAGTAAGATATTTTGATGGACAGAGGAAAGAGTGAGAGAGAGACAGACCATATTCATATAACTTTCGTCACAGTATAGTTTATTATTATTGTTGTTAATCTCTTACTGTACCTGATTTATAAGTTAACCTTTATCTTAGGTATATATGTACATACAGAAAAGAAACATAGTATATATAGGATTTGGTGCTATGGCTTCAAGCATCCACTGGAGTTCTTGGAACACATCTCCCATGCATAAAAAAATGGGGACACTGTAGTAACTTAGTTAATTGAGGAGGACAAATTTGGACAGATTTCTCTGTGTGTGTGTGTGTGTGTGTGTAACTTACCTAATTCTGTAAAAGATTTTAAGTGAGTTTTCAAAGTGGACACAATAAAATAAAAACACTTAATATGTGTGCATGTATTTTATATAAATAATAAAACGAATTATTCTGCCTTTTCAAGTCCTATTTACTTACATATTTATTTGGGGGATATGATGTTCTTTTTAAAAGGAACTCCAGTGACACCTGTTACCCCGGCCAATGTGGTCCAAGGCTTACCTGATCCGTGGGTATCTCAGATAACAAATACAGATACACTTGCAGCTGTGGCTCAGATCTTGCAAAGTCCTCAAGGCCAGCAGGTGAGCAGTTTTTCTGTTATGTCAAAAATTATTTAGAATTTAGTATTTTCCTAATGTGTTATTTTGTAATATACCACCTAGAGAATATGTACTTTTTTTAGTTTTATAAAAATGGGACCATTAGTTTGTTGCTTGTTTTGTTACATACTTTGTTGCTTAAGTCATATTTAATAATGTATAATGAATGTTCATGTCATTAAAAATTATTTTATAAAACATTTATTCTGTACCAAAATCTGGAACTAGCACATAGTTCTGCCAAATATTATTAGATGCTATCACACCCCAGTAACAGACAAAAGTCCTATCTTAGAGAAGACCTTCTCTTATCTTAACGACAACAGATTGTTTAAAAAAAAAAAAAAGATTTTTATCGCAGGTAGTGATAAGTGACATTAAGAAAGGATAAATCTATAGAGTGACTAGATATTTGGGAGAAGGGGTCAGGAGTAGAGAGGTAGCCAACAGGAGGCATATTTGAGGAAGTGGCATTTGAATCGAGACTTGAAATGGACTAGCTGTGGCAGGGCAGAGGATAGGAAATAGAATTACAGGTATAGAGGTCCTCAGGTGAGAGGCAGTGTGGCGTATTGTAGGAATAGAAGGTGGCTCCTGTGGTTACAACTTCAGGACTAGAGGGGAATCACACATCATGTATGAATTGACTCAAAAAATGGGAAAGGTTGCTATCTTATAATGTCAAGTTACTCCATTGTAGCTATACATACTTTTATTGTTCAAATCTTTTATGGCTCTTAATTAAGCTTTGTAGCTCTTTAAATGTAGATTCTTCAGATTTCTTAGATTTATTTCTATGAATATATTTGGATAGATTGATTTTTATAGTCAGTACCAGTTTCTCTTAGTTTTCAGTTGATTTTCTTTCATTTCCGAGTTATATTATTTGTAACTAATGATAATTCTGTGTCCTCAGTTTAAGTACTTACATATTGCTTGCTTGCTTTCTCTCTCTCTTTCTTTCTCTTTTGTTCGTTCCTTCTGTCTTTTTTTTTTTTTTTTTGAGTCGGAGTCCCCCTCTGTCACCAGGCTGGAGTGCAGTGGCCCCGTCTTGGCTCACTGCAACCTCCGCCTCCTGGGTTCCAGCGATTTTCCTGGCTCATCCTCTCGAGTAACTGGGACTATAGGCGTGTACCACCACGCTCAGCTAATTTTTGTATTTTTAGTACTGATAGGGTTTTACCATGTTGTTTAGGATAGTCTCTTGACCTCATGATCTGCCTGCCTTGCCCTCCCAAAGTGCTGAGATTACAGGTGTGAGTCAGCTCGCCTGGCCAGTATATATAGTTTTCTTACTTTATTGAACTAAGTTCCAGAAGAGATTATAATAGTTAATAATGATAGTATACTCATTGTTACTTTTTTCAGAGTCAAATAGAAATACATTGTTTTTGTTCTTCTATGATGATGGTTTTGTTTTGATATATTTGTTCTTTTTTAGGAGCATATTCTGCTTTTTCTAGATGATAGTGTTTTGTGGGGTTTTGATTTAAAATTTTATTAGTGGAGATAATAGCATAGTTTTTCAGTTATTCAACTTTCTTATAATGATTCAGCATTCAAGTCCTGTACATACACACACACACACACACACACACACACACACACACACACTCTCTCTCTCTCTCTCTCTCTCTCTCTCTCTCTCTCTCTCTCTCTCTCTCTCTCTCCCCCCCCCCTTCCTCCCTCTCTCTCTCTCTCTCTTTTTCTTTCTCTTTCACTCTTACTCACAAATTCACACTCTCCTTTGAGGGAGTACATTTAAATATCCTGTAATTTTTGTTTTGCTTTGAGAAGTATAAGCTATTTCACAACTACTTTCTATTTGCAACAATTTTGCAACTCTACTGAGATGGGTCCCTAGTTTTTATTACTATTCTGTTTTTAAATCAGGATTATTGCTTGCTTTGTGTGATCAATTTAGAAATGGTAATGTTTTTCTGTATTCTGTGCAGTACAACCTGAGTGTTTTCTGCCTCTGGAAGGTTTGGATGAACTTAATGGAAAAACTTCTAGGGGCCTCGTGCGTTGGCTTAGGCCTGTAAGCCGAACGCTTTTGGAAGCCCTCATGGGTGGATCACTAGAGGCCAGAAGTTTGAGACATGCTGGGCCACGTGGCGAAACCCGTCTCTACTAAAAACACAAAAATTAGCTGGGCATAGTGGCACATGCCTGTAATCCCAGCTACTTAGGAGACTGAGGCAGGAGAGTCGCTTGAACCTGAGAGGTGGAGATTGCAGTGAGCCAAGATCACGCCACTGCACTCCAGCCTGGGTGACAGAATATGATTACATCTCATTAAAAAAAAGAAAACCAAAAACTCCTCTAGGGTTTGATGTGTTCAGGGAGATTAATTTTTGATAGCATTTTTCAATTCTTTTTTTGGTTATTTGTATTCACTTATCCTACCTTTCCTGAGTAAACTTTAGTAGTAAATATTTATTATTATAAACAGTCTATTTTGCTTTTCATAGCTGTACATAATTTTTTTAAAAACTAACTTTGGCGTGCACATCTGACTTTGTGTTGTGTTTTTGCTCTTTTTAGCTTTAGGTGTATTGGAGTTTATGCTTTTTATTTCTGTTACCCTAGTTCTTCATTTTTGGACTGTTGATAATCTTTTAAATAGCATTTGATCCCTTTGCTGCTTCTCTTCCCTTTTTGATCCATCATTTTAATTCTCTGCAAGACTGATCTTTATAAATTATCTCATATATCTTAAACATATGCTCAGGAACATGCAATAATTGCAGGATATACATAGAATAAAATCCAACTTTGTGGTATTGAGAATTATTCTCAATGTAACCCGTTATTTTTTTCTAACATTTTTCATTACTTAGATTACAGAGTTTTATAGATTACTCTAAATTAATGTAAGTATTCTCTTTGCTTGTGTTGCTCCCCCTTTTACTTTATCATCTACTTCTCCAATTTTCTTACCTTTCACCCTTCCTTCACTATTCAAACCAAATTAAAATTTTGTACAGCTTGTTTGGTCTCTGAAGTTCAGTGATATTGTATCACTTCATTGGTTGTTTTTCATTCATTGAACCTTCCGCAGACATTTACTTTGGCCTGCAGTGTTTGAGGCACTGTACTTTGTTCCGCAGTATACAAGATAAGAAACATTCTCTGGCCTCTGGAAGCCTAAAGTTTAATAGTCAAAGTTAATTGGAATACATACATGTAATTACATTTAAAATTTATAATCATGGGAGAAGTTTAGAAAAGAAGGGCTTTGGAAATTCAGAACTAGTGATAATAGTTAGCTTGAATAATTGGTTCAGAAAAGTTCTGTTGTACAGATGACAGTTAAATTTGTTTTTTAAAGGATGGGTAAGAAATGGATGCTAAGGATGAGCTACATAGACAGAGACAATTGAGAGTAAACAACGAATTCTCGGTCTTTCAGATAAAATCTGCTACACCTTCATCTTCATCTCCATTAGTGGAAATGCAATTTTTTCATTTGTTCATACTCAGAAGCTTAAGAATCATTCTTGATTCCTTTCGTTCTTCAGATCCAATCTGTTAAGAAATCTTCTGCCTTCAGAATATATTCTGAGTCACTAACTCACCACCTCTATCACTAGATCCTAGAATCAAGCCACCATCATTTCCCACCTGGTTTATTGCAGAATCCTCTTAATGGGGCTTCCACCCTTGCTTCACAACAATCTGTTCTCAATACTGCAGTGAGACCCTTTTAATACCTAAGAGTTCATGCGATAACTCTGCTCAGAATCCTCCATTGACTCCCTGTCTCGCTCAGAGTAAAAGCCCAAGTTGTTTTCTTTGTTTGATTTTATTTTGAGACAGGGTTTTGCTTTGTCACTAAGACTGGAGTGCAGTGGTGTAATCGTATTTCACTGCATCCTTGAACTCCTGGGCTGTAGCAGTCCCACCTCAGTCTTCCAAGTAGCTGGGACTAAACCTGTAGCCACCATGCCTTGTTAATTTTTTATTTTTATATATAGACAGGATGTCACTATATTGTCCAGGCTGATCTCGGACTCGTGGCCTCAAGCAGCCCTCTCACCTGCACCTCCCAAGTCAGTGGGATTACAGACATGAGCCATCGCACCTGCGCTAAAAGCCCATATGTCAACAATCACTTCATTGGTCCTTGTATGTTCTCAGTTTGATCTGTTCCCTTCCCAACGCTGGTTGTCACGAATTCATAGAATTCTTTAATGATAAGACTTGCTTATGTTGCCTATCACCCACCCCTGCTTTTATGTTTTACTTTGCTTCGTTTCTCACCTCCTTCGCCCTGTGACTGGTTCCATTGCAGCCATAGTGGCATTTTTGTTGTTTCTTACATAAATTACCTATAATCCTGCTCCAACATCTCTGCATTTGATGTTTTTTATACTGAAAACCCACTTTCCTTATACATTCATATGGCTTCATCTTCTGTAAGTCTTTGTTTAAATGTCACTTTAATAAGGCCTTCGGTGACTGCTATTTATTTTTTTTTTTTTTGAGACAGAGTCTTGCCCTGTTGCCCACGCTGGTATGCAATGGCACAATCTCAGGTCACTGCAACCTTGGTCTCCCTGATTCAAGCAGTTCTCTTGCCTCAGCCTCCTGAGTAGCCAGTATTACAGGTGCGCGCCACCATGCCTGGCTAAATTTTGTATTTTTAGTAGAGATGTGGAGTTTCACCATGTTGGCCAGGCTGGTCTTGAACTCCTGACCTGAAGTGATCCTCCTACCTCGGCCTCCCAAAATGCTGGGATTACAGGTGTGAGCCACTGTGCCCGATCGTGACTGCTATTTAAAACTGTAAACTCTACCTGTCATTCTTTACACTCTGTTCTCGCTCACCTCTGCTTACTTCCTTCCTTAGCACATACTGCCTTCTCTTATGTTATATAATTACTTGTTTTTTCTCTGTCCTTTCTTACTGGAATGTATGCTAAACTAGGGCAAGAATGTTTTGCATTTCACTGCTGCTTCTCCAGTGTCTAGGTTGTAGATGGTGTTTGATATGTTTTTTGTGGAATGAATGAATGATGTACAGAAGCATTACAATGTTAGATATACAAAAAATATTGTAGGGTTGAGTTGTCTAAGAGTCTGTGTCAGCTATTAATGACAAAGTTAAATGGCAGACTTAAGTGTGACCTAGGTTGTGAAAACTATAAATAATGGACTGAGAGATAAACCATTCATTTGCTAAGCAATGGGGGAATCACTAGATACTTTTTATGTTGAAGTCACATGATCTTAACAGTACTTCACATGAATTAGAGAGGGGAGAAGTCTAGAGGCAGAATAACTTTCTTTTGGTAATAGTGGTTTTGAAAAGGAGATAATTATGAAAAATTGTAAGGTTGTATACTTTCTGAAAATGCAATCTCAAAAACGTGGAGCCATTCTAGACTTAAAAATATTTTTAAAAACCAATGTGTACTCTTAGGTTGAATATATTTTCTACATTTTTGAGACAGTTTGGAGACTGAATATTAACTGGATACTAGATGAAATTGTAGAGTTACTAATTTTATTTTATGACAGTATTTTAAAAACAATTCATAAAGCAAGTGTTCTTATTTTAAAAGATGCCTATTAAATATTTTTTGGCAGGAGGAGAAATTTTTTGAAAGAAATAGTACAAACAGTAAAACAGTAATTGATGGAATATGAAGTCAGAGTAGAGGAAAAAAAATTGGATGCTGCAGTTTTTTTGTTTTGTTTTGTTTTGTTTTTTACTTGGGTGACCAAATGAATAACAGTGCCATTGGGAAAGTGGAGATGTGAAAATGAGCAGTTAAAAAGTGTAAAGGGAAAATAACGGCGTTTCCTTCCTCCCCACACCCCCACCTCCAGTCCTGTCTTCCCATTCTCTCTTCATTCTGTCCGCCCTTCCTTCCTCATAGCGATTTAGAATGTCATCTTGGTCTTTTTTGTTCTGGGCCTTCCTAAGTGCAATAACTTTTAACTATCACATATTTTTGTATATTCTTTGGTATCATTTTAGTAGTTTTAATAGAAAATGTTTAGTTGATGGTTAAGTGACAAGTTTGTTTCCTAATGCTGCTTTTACTTTACTTTCATCTTACATAGTTTTTATGCCCTCTCCTTCTAGAAGTTGAACTTCAAGAGTACAGTTGTCTTTGTTATCAGTAGTTTTGCTGTCTTCATTTTTCTCTTTAAACTAGTATTTTTGGATTTAACTCAGGCTTATAACTGGATTATCATTTACTTCTGGGATGTATATAGGGTTTCCTTATCTGTGGAATCTCTTAAAGAACTTACTGTTGTGCCTGTTTTTTAACAGGAGTGGGTACATAGTGGCAGCAAGAGTTGCCTTCAACTCTAGATGACACTATTTATTACTAATAACTAATTGCCAGACTCTACTCTGAGAAACAGATTTCTTCATCGCTCTCCTGCTTTCAGGAACTGTGCTCAGATGGTAATTCTGAGTAATAGCAAAAGCTGCTGCTATTTTCAGTGCTTGTCCTTTTATAGAGTTTAAAGAGTTAATTGAAGAAGGGTTAAAAAGTTTAGTGAAAAAAGTGTCAGCTCGTAATGAGTTTTTAAATTGGTTGTCACAGATCACTTTGTTTTGTTTAAAGTTTGCTGACTTTCCAGAAGTAAGACAAACTTATTAAGGACTGTGTAATATATGGTACACAACCTTCAAAAAAATTTACTGTAATTAACAGTATGTATTTTTTTCTTGATCTCCAAAGAGAGTGTGGAATGATTAATTTTACTGACCAAAAGTTTTAGGTGGCCACTCTTACAGAAAAAAACCCAATGCTTGTTTTGTAATAATTGTTTTTTTCTTTCCAGCTTCAACAGTTAATACAAACCTTACAGATACAACAGCAGAAGCCCCAGCCTTCCATTCTGCAGGCCCTGGATGCTGGTCTTGTTGTTCAGTTGCAAGCTCTTACAGCACAACTTACAGCTGCAGCTGCGGCTGCCAACACTCTCACTCCCTTAGAACAGGGAGTCTCCTTTAACAAGGTAGAAACTAAAATATCAAATTGTCTCTATATGAATTATTAAATACTATATACTATCTCATGGATTTTAATTCTATAAATGAATTTTTTATAGACTTGTAATATCCCATGTATACTGTATAAGACATTCTGAAGTTTACAGAAAGTTCAAGCCTCTGAAAATTCAATAATTAAAAATTTTTTCTTAGGCTAGTTACAGTGGCTCACACCTATAATCTCGGCACTTTGGGAGGCCAAGGCAGGTAGATCACTTGAGGCCAGGAATTTGAGACCAGCCTGGCCAACATGGTGAAACCCCTGTCTCTACTAAAATACAAAAATTAGCTAGGTGGTGTGTGCCTGTAATCCCAGCTACTGGGGAGGCTGAGGCAGGAGAATCGCTTGAACCTCAGAGATAGAGGTTGCAGTGAGCTGAGATCAAGCCAGTGTACTCCAGCCTAGGTGACAGAGCAAGGCTCTTGTCTCCAAAAAAAAAATTGCTTTTTCTTGAAACGTTTAAAATATTTTCATTTGACTAAAAATAACTGGTCAGTAAAATCTTGTATTCCCCATTGAGGCAAGCTCTTATTTTCTGAACTTGTCTGATTTCTTTCATGGATGCCACATTTTATTTTGCTGCTCTCTTTGTTCTGTAATTTGGACCTGCAAAAGTTAAAATTCTCTAATCAGTATGTGAAAAGTTTAAAGGAAAACGTCTCTACAGTTTGTCACTATACTATAACTATGGTAAGTTAAGGCCTAACTGTAAAAGTAGTGTTGCTGAAATTTAAAATCTTTCATGTATAATTTAGTGTGTGATATTCTTAGTATGCTTATTAATTATGGGAGTATCATAATGCTTGGAAGTGGTGTTCATATTTTTTAAATTTGTACTATTATGTTAAAGGAAAGTAAATAGTGATTTATTGGATTATTACTTAGACTTTTTGGCCAGCAGCTTCCATGTCTAATTTAGTCTAACACTATATAGCTAGACCACATAAAAAGCCTTTAGGTTGAGCATTTAGAAGAATAACAGCATTCTAAGTTGAGAACCATACTAGGAATAGATCCATTGATTATGGTCCTAGATGTTTTATCTAGGGAATTCCATGGGAAAGCCACCTAATTATTTTAATCCTTAGTTTTCTGTAAAATTTGAGTATTAATCTTTATCCTGCCTGTATCATAATTTGTTTTGTTACATAAGAGAATATATATCAAAATGCTTTAAAGGAAAAAACCTCAAGCACTTTATAATAGTATAATATAAAGTGATACAAAACATTTATTGACACATTAAATGATAGAGATAAATTAACAGAATGTCATTGACATGTAGAATAGCATTTGTAACTTATATTTGTGTGAAGTACTTTTTAATGTGCCTGTTTCTCCTTTTTTTCCCCCAGAAGTTGATGGATAGATTTGATTTTGGGGAAGATTCTGAGCATAGTGAAGAACCCAAAAAGGAAATTCCAACTTCACAACTGTAAGAATTTTTTCTTTATAGCCATAGTTTTTTTTATTGGGTGGGTTGTTGCCATCTGAACTACTAAGTATACTTAATAAGTTGCGATTACTATTTCAAGCCGTTGAACCTCTTAACATTATACAAGGGTGGTAGAGATGCTATCTTGTCTCCTTGTATTATTTTGAGTCTTTTCTCAGATCTTTGCAAATAGACTGTCTCATAAAGTTCCCTCTAAGAATATTGATACATATTGGTAAATCCAGTTGTAATACTTTCTGTATTAGGCTTTAAGTTATGTAACTTCATTGTAAGAGTGATTGGAATACTAGGAATGAAGCTTGCTTCTGGTGCTAAAGGCCGTTTCTAGAAAGCTTATGAAATTGTGGGAACACAATTAAGAATTGGAGTTACAGGGATTTATTTTATTTAAAGAAATGTGTTGTATGTTTTTATTTAAATCAGTGACTTTTTTTCCCCCTAAACAATTCTTCAATGCTCTAGGTTCTGTGAGGGTTTATGAATGGACTAGTAGGAGGAAGATGTTGGAGGGGGCAGGGGTAGAAGTTGGGAGAATGGAAGAAGGATGAATGGTGAAAGTCTGTGGGTCTCTTGTTTCAAACAGAAGTTACTGGTTGTATATATTGGGGTAATACACAAAAGCAGAATTTTAGAATGTGTTAAATACTATGTACCATTTTGGTAAAATGATTCCCCTTGACAAAATGTAAAACTAGTATTTTAGATTATGAATTGCAAAGTTGGAGGCAGCATTTGAAATCATGTTGATCTGTGTCCTAAACAATGTGAGAATCTCCTTTAACAATCCTGATGATAGTTTATTTATCCAGTATTTTAATGCTTTCTGTGATGAGAAGTTAACAAATTGTTACTATTATGTGTTATTTTGTTAAACTGAATTTTGTTTTCTTTATTTTCTATTAATACACACTGACCCATGTTTTAGTTTCTGAAGCAAGGAAACAAATTTACTCCACTATAGAGATGTAGCTTTTCAATATTTGAAGATAGGTATCATTCTTCCCTTTAGGTTTATTTGCTCCAGATGAAGTACACTTTTTTGCAACTGTTTCAAGACCAGTCACCATCCTGCTTGCCCCTTTTGGGATGCCCTCTTTTTTGTTCATGTCTTACCTTGTGGCACCCAGAATCCCAGGTTTATTCCAGGTGTGAATTTCCAAGAATATAGTTAAACTATTATTTCTTCTTATCTAAACAATGTCTACTTATGTTAACATACCTGATAATGTATATGATTTTCTAAAGGAAGAGTATTAGTTTTATAAACTTTATCAATTATAGTTGTAGATTTTGCACATACTGATTGATAGACCATTTTTCTATCTCATAGAGGAGTTAAAGTGAGGATGTTGAAATACTTAAACTTTTATAAATACTTTATTGAGATTTTCTTAATATGCTCTAATGAAAAAGCACAAATTTATATGTATTTAATAGCATGAGAGTAATATCAGCTCTTCAGCAGAGCATCTCTGACATGTTATCCATCTGTTGATATACAATTGAATTTATTTTTCTTTTAGTGTATTGATGTTCTGAAGTATTCTACTTTTGGCATTAAAACTTCAAAAGCAAACATGTAGAATATTGAAAAAGTAGAAAAAGCAAACGTAGTTTCATTTAATTGGCACTTTTTTTTGGTTTTATTTGAATACTCAGTTATTTTCATAGTATCTTTAGTGGGTTTTAAAATATGTTTCCACCTGTTTTTCCTTTTAGTTCTCACGTTTCAGAATCTGTGAACAATTCCATTTTTCATCAGATAGCAGAACAACTACAACAGCAAAATCTGGAACATCTCAGACAGCAGCTCTTGGAACAGCAACAGCCTCAAAAGGTTTATAACGCCATCTTGTGGTCTTTAGAGTTATTGCTATTTATATTTTATAAATGGACATTTTTGTGGGTTGGCTTTTTAAAAAAAAAACTGGTCTTATTATTTTCTCAACCATTTAGCTTTTACCAGCTAATTTATTTCTTTCTAAAGTTTGTTATGATAATATTTTTTCAACTATTATTAGTAAGGTCAGTTTTTTTCAGGACCTTTATGGTTTTTTCTGTAATCAAAATGTATTCTGGTAACTTACGAATCCACATTGTAGGAATTAATTTCAGTGTACTGGAAGTAGAGAACAGAGGATGGGGGGGTTCAGAATTACCTCTTAAAATTTAACGTCTTTTTCTCTCTATTACCTATCAAGTTAATGATGATTATATTATTGGTGACAATTAATGATGACCATGTAATTGCTATCTTTAATTTTAAAAATGTAATAGCTGTTACTATGTGGCAGGAACTTTTTTCAGTATATGGTAGGCATGGATACATTTAACCCTCATGAGATAGGCATTTTGACTTCCGTTTTACTCCAGAAGAAGCTGAAGTTTGCTGAGATTAAACATCTAATGCAGCAGCATATTACATACAGCTAATGTTATTATATATTATCTGACTCAAGACGTGCTGTTATTTTATGCATAGCTAAGAATTTAAAAACACCTATAACTAACTAAATGTAACATCCTTTTGAGTTGTAAGAATCCTTTAACTTTATCTTACACATTTGATAATCTTTGACAAAATATTACACCTTTTAATTGATGAAATGTCAAATTGTAGGGCTAGGATTAAATTCATTACAAAGTCGTAAGACATAGTTACACATGTAAACTGTTCAGAATGAAAGTATTAGGAAATCCCCTTTCCCTCCCCAGCATACTTCTTCCTAACATTAAAAAAGTTTTGGCATTAATGGGTTTAATAAAAATATCACAAAAAATTTTTGAAGTATGAGCAGTGCCTTATTAGGCAAATGATACATACAAAGATGAACAGAAAAGAGGTTGTGGCATCAGGTAGCCTCTTCTCTAATGGAGCACATACATCTGTATGAACACCTGGCAGAATTTTTCATTTTTGTCATAGAGGTACAAGTGAAAGCCTATGGGAGCATGGAGGAGGGAATAGCTATAGATGGAAGAGATAGCAAAGTTGAGACATTGGTGGGGTCTGAACTTGGCTTTTTAATGTAAACAGTAATATAAAATGGTTGTTAATGATATTTGCTGGGTTGGAACTCTGCCTAGAATTAGGAGAATGGAATTTCAAGCCTTTTTTTGAGGAAATAATTCTGATATAAGTGGTCAGAGTAGGGGCAGTATTTTATGTCAGGCAAATATATCTGCCTGAGAATGCAGAAGGTGAGGATAGAACATTTAGATGTTGTTTAAGATAGAACACTATTAAGAACATTTAGATGTTGTTGAAAGAAAAACTGAAGTTGTAACTCAAACAGGTCATCAGTGGTATAATAATACAAAATGAAAGAACTGTTAGAGAGGCAGGAGGTAGTCGTGATGGAAGAGTTTATCCAAATAACAGATTTGTTGAGCTATAAATATAACACATTTTTAATTGCTTTAGTCATAGTTTCATTTTAGAAGATTTAGCGGAAGCACTAAAATCCTGGTAGTCCTTTTTTTTTAAATGGTCTCTCTCAGCAGAATCCAGTAGTCTTGACCAGCTTGTAATTAACACCTTGTTATTGAAGTTAAAATAAACTTGAGAAAGAGCAAGTGTGTCTTAAGAATCTCATTTACCAAAAAGAAAACTCTGGGCTTAGTTAATTACTCCATATATTAGTTCCAGAATTTCACAGCTTACCATAAAAAGATTCCTTTGAAAAGAATAGAAGTTCTGAAAAGCCTCTTTGTTCAAAAATGAATCTAATGAAGAAAAGGGAGTAGTAAAGAAAACTAGAACTGTTTTCATAAGGTAGATAGTATAAAACCTATGACAGATTTAGAATGGAAAGTTTATTAATAGGGTAACAAATATAATAAATTGTTATAGAAAACTCTACCAAATCCATTACTTTAGTGTACTTAAGATAGGGTAAATATACGGAAAAAATTATGCATTTTTGTTTACTACTGAGCTTAGTATAGCTACCTATAAGTTGTCATAGTGTCTTAGATAAAGGAATAGCACTGATAGTGCCACCTTACGCACCTTACTCATGTACTACTACCACATGTGAAGTACATGTTAAGGTCTAGTCTGTATAAAAATAAACCATTGAAAATTAAAAACCCGAATATTCAGCCATATTCAAGGAATGCTAAAGGCAAACTACAAGATCGTGTATCTAGTCTTTTTTTTTGAAACATAATGCAATATTTTCTTGAAACATAATGCAGTATTTATTTTGGCATGTATTAAAACTAAATTTTTCGCTATTGAATTACCCTTCTCAACAATTCCATTATGTTTTTCCTTTTTTATCTTATTCTTATTTATTTATTTATTATTTTTTGAGATGGAGTCTTGCACTGTCGCCCAGGCTGGAGTGCAGTGGTGCAATCTCCATTCACTGCAACCTCTACCTCCTGGGTTCAAGCAATTCTCCTGGCTCAGCCTCCCAAGTAGCTGGAATTACAGGCAGCCACCACCATGCCCAACTAATGTTTTGTATTTTTAGTAGACATGAGGTTTCACTATGTTGGCCAGGCTGGTCTTGAACTCCTGACCTCTTGATCTGCCTGCTTTGGCTCTCCAAAGTGCTGGGATCACAGGCATGAGCCACCGTGTCTGCCCACCCCGCTGCCTTTTTGTTTTTTGAGACAAGAGTTTCCCTCTTGTTGCCCAGGCTAGAGTGCAGTAGGGGGATCTTGGCTCACGACAACCTCCACCTCCCGAGTTCAAGTGATTCTCCTGCCTCAGGCTCCCAAGTAGCTGGGGTTATAGGCATGCACCACCAAACCTGGCTAATTTTGTATTTTTAATAGAAATGAGTTTTCTCCATGTTGGTCAGGCTGATTTTGAACTCCTGACCTCAGTTGATCCCCCTGCCTTGGCCTCCCAAAGTTCTGGGATTATAGGCATGAGCCACCGCATCCTGCCTTTAGTCTTTTTTGACATAAAATTGGGAATAATTAATTGATAAGTAATGATAAATAATAATGAAATATTCCTGGGATGATAAAATACAAAAATGTTTCAAAGTATAGGAAAATAAAATTTCTAAGATCCTGTAACATACCTTAGATTTGTTAGAAAGTCCAGTGGATCTGATGCTAATTGCAAGATAATAAATTTTAGTCTACTTTTCTAAAATTACATTTTCTTTGTTCTTCATAAGACCTCTAAGAAAGAAGAAAAATCATGAAACAGCAATCTTTCAAATAGGTAAAACTGCTCAGAAAGAAACTGTAAAACTGAAATTTGTTGTAATGGATCCTGATGGTTACATTAAAGTTTAACTCACTGAAAAAAGTTAAGGGTGAAAAACAAGTGGGGTGGGATAGATAGGGAGCTAGAATGTTGATGTAAGAAATACAGGTGTGTATATATGATCACTGAATTAAGACCAAATAATAGGGCTTGGAATTAAGTAGAAAATTATCTTGCTGTGTTACTAAGAATTCTTTTGTTAATTGTACCACTTTAAAGGCTTAAGCCAAGGTTCTACTTCAGTCACATTTGTTTGATTTGCTGTGAAAGAGTATGTTTATTTACTAACTTTTTGGTCAATATTGTGGTATAGAATTGGTCTTTGGCTAGTAGAAGACTGCTGTTTTTTCAAACTTTAGCTTTGATTTATTTCTACACTTTGAAAATGTCCTTTGTCCTTGGAGAACCTATTTCGTCATAAATTAAGAGACTTGGAACTCTTCCTTAATGAACTTTTTGACTCTTAATTTTTACTTTTCTTTTCTTCCATTTTAGTTAAATGTCAATACTTTTAAGAGTAATATTTTTAACTTCCTTGTAAACAAATCCCTATTCTAATTGGTTTGATGTGATTTGAACATGATAGAAGTCAGGATCTTGCTTTCAAATTGTAGCCAAGATCACTTCACTTATATAAAATTATAATTTTACAATTGAAGTAAACTGTACTCACAACTCTTAGTTTAGAAAAATCATATGTACTAAGGTGACTTAAATTCAGTACTTCATCAGGCCAATAAACTGTTTGCCTTTTGATAGGTAAGGATGCCTAGTGATTTCTAGGCATGGAGCTTCTAAAATCCTGTCTTAACATCCAGATGGACAGTACCACAGTACCTAAAATCTAAGTTCAGTGATAGCTGTTACCTCCTGTGTTCTCTTGTTTAATACCACTAAACTTACTAGAATTGTTTGTAGTCTTCCTAAACTGGTACTATGTAAACATCTATCTTTGTATTTTTTACAGAATTTTTTTTATTTTTATAATCTCATGTATTGCCTTAGCAGTTCTCAAATATAGGTAGAGACTTGTATTCCTTTTAGAGAGGCTGAAACTCAGAGTTTACATAACTTATTAACAATCACAGAGTCTGTAACAAGAGAAAAGTTTTATCTTTTTCTCTTAATTATTCCCAGCCTGTGATCTGAGATACTTGCAAAATCATGTTTTAGATTTTATCGGCAAAGTTATTTTCCCCCATAAATTTTCTCATTTCTCAGTTAAAACTGTAGTACTCTGTCTTCCTCCATGCTATATCAAATCCACACGCATGAAGTTATGTGTAGGTATTTTATTATAGGTAGTGATTTAAATCTAGAAGTGATTTAAAGTGTATGGTAGGATGCGCATAGGTTATATGCAAATACTGTGTCCTTTATTATAAGTGACTTTAGCACCTGAGGATTTTGGTATCCTTAGGGGTGTCTAGAATCAATTCCCCATGGATACTGAGGGTGGGCTGTATATGTAATTGCTAATCAAAGTCCTAGCAACTAAGTGTTATATCAAATTATTTCAGTTTTCTTCCTATGTGGAGGGGGCTGGGGCATGGGGGCAGTGTTCTAATTTTAAATATTTTAATAATTAGGTTTCATTGCCTAACTTTTATTAGACTTTTTGAAACATTTGACATATTTCACAGTGCTTCCTATTACTTTGTGAATTCTGAGAGAAGGAAATTGGGGAAGACCCATGTTGAGAATGGTTTTGCTAGATCAGTGATTTCAGTATTGGTATTTGAGCTTTGTGTTGCCTTTATACATGTAAGATATGACCATAATTTTTAAAAAATATAAAATACTTTTTCTTTTTTTAAATGAGGTGGAGTCTCGTTTTGTCGCCTTGGCTGGAGTCAAGTGGTGTGATCTCAGCTCACTACTACCTCCACCTCCCAGGTTCAAGCAGTTCTCTGCTTCAGCCTCCTGCGTAGCTGGGGATTACAATTGCACCCTGCTGATTTTTTTGTATTTTTAGTAGAGACAGAGTTTTACCATCTTGGCCAGGCTGGTCTTGAACTCCTGACCACATGATTCACCCGCCTCAGCCTCCCAAAGTGCTGGGATTACAGGTGTGAGCCACTGCACCCGGCCTGTTTTTTCTTTATAGCATTTTTTTATTAATGCCAATTATCAGTGAAAATCTAGGTTCATTTAATAAGTACCATTATGTATTTTTCGTACTATAATTCATTAGTCCTCTGTAGTTTATATTAACCACAATTAAAAATTTATTAGGGCCGGGTGCAGTGGCTCACGCCTGTAATCCCAGCACTTTGGGAGGCCGAGGCGAGTGGATCACTCGAGGTCAGGAGATCAAGACCAGCCTGGCCAATATGGTGAAACCCAGTCTCTACTAAAAATACAAAAAAATTAGAAAAGGCATGGTGGCAGGCACCTGTAATCCCAGCTACTTGGGAAGCTGTGGCAGAGAATTGCTTGAACCCAGGAGGTGGAGGTTGCAATGAGCTCAGATTGCTCTACTGCACTCCATCCTGGGTAACAGAGCGAGACTCCATCTTAAAAAAAAAAAACATTATTTGATTTTACCGTTTTAATATTTTAATCCCTTTTATGGAGCTGTACCCTGCTTTTGCATAGCTTGAGTTTATACAAATGTACAATTCTGGATTGATTACTATATAAATAATTGAACATGGAATTTTTTTTATGTATGGGTCTTCCTTTTAAACATGTAGTTGTGATGTTTGTTGTGTTTAACATTCTCATCCATAATAAAAGTTACCTCCCCATGTTTGTTTGTATATTTTCTCAATAGGCCACTCCTCAGGATAGCCAGGAAGGAACATTTGGGTCAGAGCATTCAGCGTCACCATCACAAGGGAGTAGTCAGCAGCATTTTCTTGAACCCGAAGTCAATTTGGATGATTCCATAGATATTCAGCAGCAGGTAAAAGTAAATGGTTTTCTGGGTCATAAATTTCTAAAAGTAGTTGAAGAAAACATCTAAAGTATTTTATAATAGCAGTGTACTAGAATGTATTTTTCCCACACTTAATCTCCATGTTGTAATTATTTTGCCTATTAGGTTAAGCTTGTCCAAGGCCTAAGCATAGCCTCTAGGCCAAGCACATGGCCCACAGCTGTTTTGAATGCGTCTCAACACAAGTTTGTAAACTTTATTAAAACAAGATGAGATTTTTTTCTTTTTTTGCAATTTTTTTTTAAAGCTCATCAGCTGTCATTAGTGTTAGTATATTTTATGTGTGGCCAAAGACATTTCTTCTTCTAATGTGACCCAGGAAAACCAAAAGATATGATACCCCTACATTAGTAATTAATGCTCCTATCGTGAATATTTTTAAAGACAGTATTGTCTCAATGTATAATTCACTTTCAACCAGCTTTTCTGTTCGTTTGCTGTTCTTTTGACTTTCAAGGATATGGATATAGATGAAGGGCAAGATGGAGTGGAAGAGGAGGTCTTTGAACAAGAAGCTAAGAAAGTGGCAGTTCGCTCGAGATCCAGAACACATTCACGTTCTCGTTCAAGGTTCTACAATAATATTTAATAATAGCTGTGTGTGAACTTTAAAAATGTTGGCTTTATGTCATTGCATCAAGATGAAAGGAAATATTTTCCTTGGGATGACATATTTTTTCACAGTCTCTCAGAAAAAAAAGTTATTTCAAAAACAAGATAACCTTTGTTCTGTTTTAGTTGATAGATCTGTGGCCATTTATTTCGTAGTTTACGTAAGATTGGCAGCCATATCATGAGACTGGATTTTGAATTATATTTGAATTTAGTTAATATTATGAGGACACCCAATTTAGAATATTGTTGCCTCCAAAAAACAGTTTATTCAGGCTATGTTTCCTGGGTTCCATTTTATCTCACACTGACACCAAAAATGGTCATAAAAATAAAACTACAAAATTTATCTTTATAAACATTGTTTATAAAACATTGTTTTCTTTGTGAGCTTAACTTAAAGGCATCAGTATTTAACATTTTTATATTCTATTTTTTGCATATGAATGAATGCCTCTGAAAAATCTGAACAGTAAAGCTGTAAGAAGGGCAGTGTATTTGATGAGTTTTTCAGTGATTTGTTTTGTCACAAAGTTCTGTGTTGCTTATCTATTGCAAATGAGAGCCTGTCAGTTCAGCTTTCTCTAAATCCATCTCGTATCACTGAATTATTTTCCTGAAACACTAACAGTAGTAGTGTTGAAATTGTCTGTATTTGTCATTAGCAGCTAAGCAATTTGAAGAGAGCTGAATGGCATGTGGTTGACAGGCAAAGGTGTTTCAGTGTCACCTTCTACAAGCACCATAAAATTTTATAAGTTGGAAACTATTAAGCAGAATTATGTAGTGGCCTAATGCTGTATCACATAACTGGTCTTTTCATTTTCTTTGGTCTTTCATTCCTGTTCTTCTGTTTGAAAAATGAGTTGGAATATACTACAAGAAAGCGAGACCCTTTCTAGAATCTCGTTCTTGCCTTTTTCCTCTTCATTGTGAATAATCACCCATACTCAGAATCATTGCCAACTAATGTGGACCTAAGCAGTATACGGATTTGAGTAAAATGCCTTTTTTTTTTTTTGAGACAGAGCCTCACTGTGTTGCCCAGGCTAGAGTGCCAGTGGCGTGATCTCGGCTCATTGCAGCCTCCACCTCCCAGGTTCAAGTGATTCTCCTGCCTCAGTCTCCTGAGAGCTGGAACTACAGGCACGCACCACGCACCACTACACCCCACTAATTTTTATATTTTTAGTACAGCTGAGGTTTCACTATGTTGGCCAGACTGGTCTCGAACTCCTGACCTCATGATCTGCTCACTGTGGCCTCCCAAAGTGCTGAGATTACAGGCTTGAGCCACTGCGCCCTGTCATGAAATGCATTTTTGAGACTTGATTGTACTTCAGAATATTTTAAGATACTGTCACTAAATATAAGACAAATTTTTTTTGGTATTTTTTCCCTCACTTAGAAGTGACAAATTTGTTAGAAGGAAAACATGTATGTTACTAGAAGTAAAATAAAATTTTTTTGTAGATCACCAAGAAAACGAAGGTCTAGGTCACGATCTGGTTCTAGAAAGCGTAAACACAGAAAGCGATCGCGCTCCCGCTCAAGAGAAAGAAAGAGGAAATCATCACGATCGTATTCAAGTGAAAGGAGAGCCAGAGAAAGAGAGAAAGAACGACAGAAAAAGGGATTACCTCCAATTAGATCTAAAACATTAAGCGGTAAGTAACATATGTCTACAATGCTTTGGTTTCAATGAATATTTAAAAAATAGTTATTTGCTATAAAGTCTCTTAGCCAAATTTTATTTTCAGATAAGAAGTTTAAAAGTGAGTTGGTAAGTGAGTAATTTTGTCTCTGATTTTTGTAGCATGATAGAGAAGAAAAAGGAAGAACAGATTGTATTCAAAGACCAAGGTAGTTGAGGGTTGATTACCGTTCCCCGCCCCCCCCCAAATGCAAGTTAGAAAATCTGTATTGACTAATGATATAAAAAGCAGACTAGGCTGGTATCTGCAGCATGGACACAGTGACTTCTGTCTATAGTATTCTGACCAATTATGGCCACCAGGTCTATAGGAGTAATTATTATATGAAGCATATACTTAGCTATATATAATTTTTAAAGCAGTTATAACATTATGGGTTAGTACTACAGGAGAATTCCTGCTGTACAAACTTTCCATGATTACATGTTAATCAATTACTTAACGATTAGAACAGATTCGGTAGTGGTGGGGTTTGGTTTTGGAGTAGGCCTGGAGAAGGTTCACTTGGTAGGAATGTTAAGTACAGCAAAATAAGCTTTAATTAGTGCCAAATTCTGCCTGGGGTGTTCTTGGTGGATTATGACTTTTAAGATGAACTCTAAGAGATTGCATACATGCAGAGTACATAAAATAGAGCAAATTGACATTCTTTCCAAAGAACTAAACATTGATTGTGTTATCTAATTTCTGAAGACTTCCAAATAAATTCCCTCTGCCAGAGAGTTAGAAAAATAATCAATATAATTTATACTACTTGAGCATCTTGGAAACTCAGGCCTGTAATAAAAGACAGTAGCCATCTTCTTACTAAGTTTTGGTTATTTTTATAGTCCTTGGCTCTCTTGCCTGAATTTTACCTGGTTGTGGGAGCTAGTGTCAACCTAGTAATATTGATATTCCTTGCTCTAGAAGTTTGTTTGTTCCTTAGGGTTAGGGTATACATTTAAACATTTTAGTGCTGACTGATTAAAAAAAAAAATGTCAAAGGTCTGAACATAAAACCTCTATTATGCTTTCTCACGATTTCCATTAAAACTTTCAGAATCATCTATTTATTTGCCAATATTAGAGTAAGGATTTTAGGCAGAATCTCATTTAATTTCTCACCTAATTTGCCATGTTGTTGATGTCACTGTTTAAATAGTTTTTAACTGTGGAATTTATTATTATTATTATTATTATTTTATTTGTTTTATTTTCATGGGTACAACAAACAGCAAAAAGGAAAATAAAAAGCACATAAGCAGATAAGGCATACCTCATTTTATTGCACTTCACTCCATTGTGCTTTGCAGTTACTGCTTTTTTTTTTTAATAGATTGAAGGATTGTGACCACCCTGTGTTAAGAACATCTGTTGGGCACCATTTTTCCAGTAGCAGGTGCCCACTTTGTCTCTATGTCAGCTTTCTTTTTTTTTTTTTTTTTTTTTTTTTTTTTGAGACGGAGTTTCACTCTTGTTACCCAAGCTGGAGTGCAATGGCGCGATCTCTGCTCGCTGCAACCTCCGCCTCCTGGGTTCAAGCAATTCTCCTGCCTCAGCCTCCTGAGTAGCCGGGATTACAGGCATGCGCCACCGTGCCCAGCTAATTTTTTGTATTTTTAGTAGAGACGGAGTTTCACCATGTTGACCGGGATGGTCTCGATCTCTTGACCTTGTGATCCACCCACCTCGGCCTCCCAAAGTGCTGGGATTACAGGCTTGAGCCACCGTGCCCGGCCCCATGTCAGCTTTAAAAAAAATTTTTTTTGACAATAAAGTGTTCTAAAATTAAGGTATATACATTATTTAGGCATAGTGCTGTTGCACACTTAATAGGTTATAGTGCAGCGTAAACATAACTTTTATATGCACTGGGAAGAACAATTTATGTGACTCACCTTCTCGAGATATCTGCTTTATTTTGGTGGTCTGGAACCAGAGTTGCAGTATCTCCAAGGTATGCCTGTACAGTGAAAAATAATCTCTGTTTCTTTACCTCACGATGCTCCTTAATGAAAAGCAGTATCAGTTTCCTGTGATTTGTATTCTTTCTTAACACATTTTGAACATATCGATAGTGTTTTCATACTATTGATTAGTTTTTAGCATGAATTTTAGAACACAAGATTTTCATGAATAGAGGATATAAAGTACCAATGAATAATAACATTCTAGGAATCAAGTCTCCCTTCTGCATGGGTTGGAAAATATCATTAGTGCCTTCTGAGAAAAATATGGCATTCCCTGTGGGAAAAAAGTGTAGAGAGATAATATTGAAAGAGATGGGAAATGTGGAACAGAGTTTAGGTGGATTAAGGCAGCTGGAATATACGGAACCGGTAATAAAGAGGAAAAAGTGAATGCCAGGTGCAGTGGCTCACACATATAATCCAGGCTACTTTGGGAGGCACAGGCCAGCAGATTGCTTGAGGCCAGGAGTTTAAGACCAGCCTGGGCAACATAGTAAGACCCCATCTTGACTAAAAAAAATGGGTTGGGCAAAGTGGTTCACATCTGTAGTCCCAACTAAGTAGTTGTACTCACGCAAGAGGTGGGAGGATCACTTGTTCCTGGGAGGTTGAGAGGCTGCAGTGTGACATGACTGCATGTCTAGCCTGAGGAACAGCAAGATTCCATGTTCCAGCCTGAGGAACAGAGCAAGACCCTGTCTCAAAACAGACAAAAGAATCCTTAAGGCTGGGTGCGGTGGCTCAAACCTGTAATAGCACTTTGGGAGGCCAAGGCAAGAGAATTGCTTGAGTCAGGAGATTGAGACCTGCCTGGGAAACAGCAAGACCTTGTCTGTACTAAAAATAAAAACTTAACCAGGTGTGGTAATCTGTGCCTCTGGTTTCAGCTTCTGTGGAAGCTGAGGCAAGAGGAGTTGGAGGCTGCAGTGAGCTATGATTAGGATACTGTACTCTAGCATCAGCCTGGTGACAGAGCAAGACCTTGTCTCCAAAAATAAAGGGGCAGGGAGATCTATTCCATGAAAGATCCCCAGACTTCTGTTAAGGGTTTGTGTAGGTCCCCAAAAGGTACCTACATTTAAATTATTGGAATTTGTAAATATGTTACATTGTATGGTAAAAGGGACTTTTCAGGCCCTTTTGAATTAGGGATCTTGAGGTGGGGAGATGAACTTTGATTATCCAGAAGACCCAGTTTAATTACGTGGGTACATAAGAGGGAAGCAAGTATGTTGGAGAGAAAAGGTGATGTGGTGATGAGAGGAGAGAATTTGGGAAATGTTGTAGAGGTGGTTTTGAAGATGGAGAATGTGGCCATGAGCCAAGGAATGCAGGCAACTTGTAGAACCTAGCAAAGATAAACAGCTTCTCCCCTAGATCCTCCAGAGGGAATAAATCCTCCCTGCTCACCCATTGTAGTTCTTCAAAATTATAAAATAATAATTTGTTTTATTCTATGTTTATGTTATTTTGTTATAGCAGCAATAAAAAACTGATATGAGTCTAGGCATGGTGGCTCACCTCTATAATTACAGCACTTTAGGATCACTTGAGACCAGGAGTTTGAGACCAGCCTGGGCAACATGATGAAACTGCATCTCTGCTAAAGATACAAAAAAATTAGCTGAGCATGGTGATTCATACCTATAGTCCCAGTTACTCATGAGGCTGAGGGTGGAGGATTGCTTGAGCCCAGGAGGTGGAGGTTGCAGAGAGCCAAAATCACACCACTGCACTCCAGCCTGGGCAACAGAGCGAGACCCAGTTTCAGAAAAATAAAAACCTAATGCAGAGCTCCTTGAGACTTTGGTTGAAGATTAAATTGAATCTAAGGTGAGACTACAGGAGATCAACAGTTGTCAGGGAAAGAACAATGACCAGGGACTCTGTGTTAGCTAAGTGATTTCTAAAGCTTACACAGGTCTGGAAGATGTTAGAGTTCTGACTAACCAGAGACCTGGTTGAAAAAACCTGGGGCACTCAGTAGTGATCTTGCCAAGGGTAATACCTTTATTTGGGGCTAAATTAGCCATAGAGTAAAACCTGCCTTAGACCTGTCATATTATAGATAAAAGGTAGTCAGAAATGTGGACACTGACATAAATCCAAATACAAATTATGGAAATTATGCAGAAGTGTCAGCTATGAATATTTTTAAAATAAATATCTTCTGTAAAAGGAGGCATTCTTGGAGGTATGAACAAGACAGCTGAAAGTAGACAAGGTGTTTCCTGTTTAATATTTGTTAAAGGGATGTGGCTTTCAACAGTTAAGTACCTTTAAGTCTTTCAAGGGGTTCTGATTTGGCCAGTTTCCCTTTGTATCTTCATGCAAAGCATTGTTTCCTTAAGGATAAGATACTGTTTTCAGATTTATCTCTTGATTAGGGAGATATATTTACTTAATCCTTCCAGTGCAGAAGGACACTTAAAAGGTTCACAAATGGGATTACTGTGAGAAGTGGTTTTAAAACTTTGTTGCACGTTAGAATCACCTAGGGAAGTTTACAACTCTCATTTTCCAGTCTTTCATACTGCATGTCACTCAACCTCTTAGAGTGGGACCTGGCATCCACAGATGGTTCAGGTGTGCAGCCAACCTCGAAAACATGCAAGGTGACATGCAAGTGGTTGACTTGGCAAAGATCTGAATTAATACTTGTGATTTTAGTTGATTTTAAACATAACAGATGCAAGTGTTCATTAAAAATTATTTTGAATATATTATCTTAAATTTAATTATTTTTATTACTGCTTTTTCCTCAGCTACGTTTGAAAGAAGTAACTGTGTCTATATGATTTAGGTCGTTTGTTTCTTATGTCTTGACAGTATGTAGTACTACTCTCTGGGTTGGGCAAGTGGACAAGAAGGCAACACAGCAAGATTTAACCAACCTGTTTGAAGAATTTGGACAAATTGAATCCATTAATGCAAGTATTAGTTCTTAAAAATTTAAGGTTTAAAAAAGGAGGTTTTTATTCATACAAAGAATCACTTCTGTTCCTGATTAGCCCAGTAATGTCTACCTTTAATAATACACATATTTTCAAGAATCGTTTTACTTTGATAATGTCTGTGTTTATTTTGGTGCTGTTTCTCTTCATAATTGTTACTATTTTTAAAATAGAATTCTAGCAAAATATTCTTGAGTTTTATAGCAGCGTAGCATGTTTGATTTCTAACATCATCAAATGTTTGAGTTAGCAGGAACCCTAGGTGTGGTGTAGTTTAATTCCTTTTTTAAAAAAATGTGTTTAAGGGCCAGTATGGTGGCTCACGTCTATAATCCCAGCACTTTGTAAGGCCAAGGTGGACAGATCACGTGAGGTCGGGAGCTTGAGACCAGCCTGACCAACATGGAGAAACCCCTCTCTACTAAAATTGCAAAAAATTGGCCAGGTGTGGTGGCCCATGCCTGTAATCCCAGCTACTCAGGAGGCTGAGACAGGAGAATTGCTTGAACCTGGGAGGCAGAGGTCGCAGTGAACTGAGATTTCACCATTGCATTCCAGCCTGGGCAACAAGAGTAAAACTTGTCTCCAAAAAAAAAAAAAAATAGAGTCCCACAGAATTGTAGACATTTGCACAGCTAGACTTGGGATCCCAGTCTCTTTTGCCTTTTTCTTTTCTCATTCTCTGGTGCTCTTTTACTGTCTTTCTTACCTAACAGAACAAATGTTAGGTCAGAAAATCAGTATGGTAGGTGAATTGCTAGTAAGTGGAGCATAACTCTTTGACGCTTAATTCTTGCACTAGTTTTGAACCACCCAGTCTCCTCCTTTGAATCTGTGTTTTATTCTTTTTAAGTCCTGATGCTTTTTTCTGAAGGCCAGACATCTTTGTGTAGCCATTTTAATTGTTCTTTTATTTAAAAATGATTTGCTTTCTTTCTTCCTCCTGCTATATAATGAAATGTTTTGTAGTCATTTTCGGAGACATTTATTTATCTGTCCATCCATCCATCCATCCATCTATTCATCTATCCATCCATCTATCCTGGAAGACAGGAAGTATAAGGACACCTAATTCACCAAGCTTCTGATTTCATTCCCTGTGGTTACAATTTTATGTCTGTGAGATCTTTTACCATTTTTATCCGAATATTGCCGAATTTTTCCTTTCTAGTCTTAATTCCTACCCAGTCTTCCTTAAATGACCAAACTTGACTTTTCTATAATAATAACAGAATTCTTTGAGTTGAGTTGAACCATTTGGCATCTTTCTTTTGCATGTGACCTCTTTGGAGCCTCATAAGAAGCTGGTTAAGTAATTCAAATACTGTTATTTTCTAATGTGGAAATGAAGTGATTTGCTTGAGTTACACAGGTGATAAAAAAGGTGATTGGTTAAGGATTTCAACCTGGGTACTTCAGAGTTCTCTTTCTATATCACAAGAGTGCTGTCAACATGTCTTACTCTTATCTTTTTAGATTTCACCTGTTAAAACATCAGTATCTTTCAGAGTCTGTAATCATATACCTTCTCTGAAGTTTTTTTTCTGATTTTTCCCAACCTTAAACTAGTGATTCTCAGCTCTAGCCGCATATCAGTAATATGTCTTGACATTTGAAAAGTTAGGGTTGCCCATGCTCAGTATCTTTAATTTTTTGGCGAAGTGCCACAGCTGCATAGGTGATTCTCATGCACAGCAGGAATCATTGCTCTGAACAAAGCTTGTATCCAGGTAGCATTTTGGATTTTTCTGTTTATCATATTTATAGTCTTTCTTGTATCCCTTGAATGTCTGTTTGCCTTATCTCTCTCCTCTATTGTATTATTTTTTGAGAGTATAGTACTTATAAATAATAAGCACTAAGTTATTTTGTGAAATGAAGATTCATAATCCATTAATTTAATTTTGGGGGCTTCAGAGACAAAAAGTCCATTCAGTTTGGCATTTAGTAGGTTATTGATGATCTTGAAGACAGTGGTGTATTTTCTAGTGGGTTGGTAAGGAATTAGAGCTACATTGCAATAGACAAAAATGTCAAGGTTAAGATAGAGTTCTCTTTTAAGAAGTTTGTTATTAAAGAGACAGTAGCTTGAAGTAGCTTTCTCGGCCCTTCTTAGCAAGGCTGAGAAAAACATTTATTTGTAAGCTTTAATAATAGATACATTTTATTAGGTATTAAGTGAAAAAACAATAGAATGCCTTTTGAGTTTCTCAAAAAGAAATGCTATGCACTGGTTTCGGAGTTCATGTATTAATGATAATTTTATGATCTGGTAATTGTAGAAAAGTTAAATGCTTTATAAATCAGTCTCAGATCCTAACGCTGGGGCTATTCTTTATGTTAAAACCTTTGCCAGAAGCACTTGAACAAAATAAAGTTTTATAAGATTGAAAAGTTTTATCAATTATTTCAGATTATGGATTTTATATTAAGGATAAGATAATTCCAGAAAAGAAAAGCACTTCTCGCATTACTCAATAAAACATTTTGAAAAATTGAAGTAATATTAGGAATAAATTGTTCCTTTCAAATATTTTGGCCACATAACATTATTTCCCTTTTATCTGGTGGTGGTATACATATGAAGCTATACATTTTTTGTTTTATTTTGTTTTTAATAGTTCATTCTCTGTGTTCAGAAAATATTGCCATGTGCTATTTAAGATTTCATATATATCATGGCTTATAATGAGACCTAATTGAGTTTTGAATTTTGGGATTTTAAAATTGAGTTATTAATTATTGTACTTGAATCATACCTATTAATTAACAGCTGGAGGAAGAAAGGGGAAAATAAATCAGTAATCTATCAAAATTGAAGTATTAGTAAGTAGTCAATGTTTTGTGTCATTTAAAACCGTAAAATACCAGAATGAGTTTCTGTTCTTATACCCTTTCTTAAAATTTTTTTTCTTATTAGATGATTCCTCCCAGGGGCTGTGCGTATGTCTGCATGGTTCATCGACAGGATGCATTTCGAGCTCTTCAGAAACTCAGTTCTGGATCGTATAAAATTGGGTCCAAGATCATTAAGGTGAGATTTGGTGGAGTGGAGCTTGGGATGGGGGTCAGTATTTTTAATGTCTGTTATATTGAAGTCTGAGTTTTTCACAGAAGGGTCACAAGCTCTTTTATTAGATTATTAGAATGTCCCTGCATTATATTCTCTTTTAATATTATGGGCAAACCTCATCAGAAACTTATTATTTGAGTTCATTGAGTTTCAGAATTAGATGTAGGTAAAAATAAGTCTAATAACTAGAACTTTAGTCAATTAGTTGAAATTACACTTGCACAGCTTTCTGAGTCAACCAGGGCACCTTTCTATGAGTAGAACATGTTCATTTTACAATGTTGTCTTTCATTCACTTTTTCTTTCAGTACTCCTTAATTATATCTTCTAATTATATTATTGATTCTTGACATTTTTAAAAATATAAACCAGGCCCTTGTGAAGAGATTATGTATCAGAATATTTTTATTTTCTTTGTAGTCTTTACACTGAGAATTTTTTGAGTATTTTTCTATTACTTTCTATGATTAATTCACAATTTCACTTTTTTATTTGAAGTTTATCTCATCAGTTCTGCAACTGAATAAAAAAACTTTCAAATAACTACTTTCATTGATGTTAATATGTGGTCATCTTTTGTTATTGCATGGCAGTTTCTTGTGTAAACTGAAGTATTCCTGCTCTCCTCTGGAATAAAAGATTTTGTTTAAAATAACAGGCCAGGTGTGGCAGCTCACACCTGTAGTCCCAACACTTTGGGAGGCCAAGATGGGAGGATCACTTGAGCCCAGGAATTTAAGAGCAGCCTGGACAACATGGTGAGACCTAATCTCTACAAAACAATTTAAAAATTAGCTGAGTATGGCTGGGTGTGATGGCTAACACCTGTAATCCCAGCACTTTGGAGGCTGAGGCAGGTGGATCCCAAGGTCAGGAGTTCGAGACCAGCCTGGCCAATATGGTGAAACCCTGTCTCTACTAAAAATACAAAAATTAGCTGGATGGACCTGGTGGTGGGCGCCTGTAGTCTGAACTACTTGGGAGGCTGAGGCAGGAGAATCTCTTGTACCCAGGAGGCAGAGGTGGCAGTGAGCTGAGATCATACCTCTGAACTCCAGCCTGGGCAACAGAGTGAGATTCTGTCTCAAAAAAAAAAAAAAAAAAAAAATTAGCTGAGTGTGATGGTATGCCCCTCTGGTCCCAGCTGCTAGGGAGGCTGAGGTGTGAGGATCTTTTGAACCCATGAAGTCAAGGCTGTAGTGAACCATGATCGTGCCACTGCACTACAGACTGGGTAACAGAGTGAGACCCTGTCTCAGCAAATGAAGAAAAATGCTATTCTAATCACCACTGATGTAGGTGGACTTTTTTTTTTTTTTTTTTTGGAGACGGAGTTTCGCTCTTGTTACCCAGGCTGGAGTGCAATGGCGCGATCTCGGCTCATTGCAACCTCCGCCTCCTGGTTTCAGGCAGTTCTCCTGCCTCATCCTCCTGAGTAGCTGGGATTACAGGCACACGCTACCATGCCCAGCTAATTTTTTGTATTTTTAGTAGGGACGGGGTTTCACCATTTTGACCAGGATGGTCTCGATTTCTTGACCTCATGATCCACCTGCCTCAGCCTCCCAAAGTGCTGGGATTACAGGCTTGAGCCACCGCACCTGGCCGTAAGTGGACATTTTTACGGTGAAAAGTAGATTTGGATTTTCTCTCGAAATGCATTGCTCTATTAGAGTTATAATAAGAAGTGGAAATTCTTTATTATAAATACTAGATCTAATGTAAGTTTTATTTTATAAAACAAAATTGGCTAGGCACAGTGGTTCACATTTGCCTAGAACTTTCAGAGGCCAAGGTGGTGGATCGCTTGAATCCAGGAGTTTGTGACAGCCTGGTCAATATGACGAAATCCCATCTCTACTAAAAAATACAAAAATTAGCTGGTCGTGGTGTCGCCTGCCTACAGCCCCAGCTACTGCAGGGCTTAGGCAGGAATATCGCTTGAGCCCAGGTCAAGACCACAGTGAACCATGATCGTACCACTGCACTTCAGCCTGGGTGACTGAGTGAGACCCTGTATCAGACATAAAAAAACAACTGGAAAAAATATTTGTGGCTACTGTTAAGTTTTTCTGCTTTGCCTTTCTAACTGTTTTCTAAAACGAATTTCACTTGTATTTATGTTGTTTAAATAAAATTTTGAACTTTCTACCTTGTTTTTTTGTAGTATGTATATATAAGCTTCCTTTTTTCCTCTTCCCATTTATAATAGATCGCTTGGGCTTTAAACAAAGGTGTAAAAACAGAATACAAACAATTCTGGGATGTGGATCTTGGAGTTACATATATACCATGGGAAAAAGTTAAAGTAGATGACTTGGAAGGTTTTGCAGAAGGAGGCATGATTGATCAGGAGACTGTAAATACTGGTAAGAATGCTAAGGTCTTTTGATCCCATCTCTACTATTGTTAAAAAAAAGTATGCTCAGATGGTTGTAGCTGAAATGAATTTGGGATGATAGCGTGAACTGTGTATCCTGGATTCATCTCCCAAAAAAGAGAAAAGATACATTACTGTGCCCTAGTGTACAGGCTTAATGGGACCTATTTTATAGGTGTTGAAGTATAGATTAGAAAGTATAGAAGTCTGTAAATGTATAGAAATCTATAAATGTAGCATTTTTAAATGTATTTTTTTCAGATGTTGATTCTTGAGAGTTATATGTAGGAGGAATTTTTCCAAACTAAATATTTCTAATTGCTTCAGTTTAAGTGGGAACTTGGGAAGCTTCTTTGAAATGCTTTGTAGATTATTTTGAGTAGTATCCATGTTGAAAACAACAGGAATAGAATCTTAGTTTAGGGAGCTCTAATTCAGATTCATATGATGTTAAATAATTTCTGGGATGCCTTTTACAATACCAAATGATCATCCAGCCTGCTTTTTTCCCCCTGCCAAAATTGTCCTTTTATTTTAAAACAGTCCAGTTAAAAATAGACAAAATGAAAGGCCGGGTGTTTTGGCTCACAGCTGTAATCCCAGAACTTTGGGAGGCCAAAGCAGGCAAATCACAACGACAGGTATTCGAGACCAGCCTGACCTACATGGTGAAACCCTGTCTCTACTAAAAATACAAAAATTAGCAGGGCATGGTGGCATATGCCTGTAATCCCAGCTACTCAGGAGGCTGAGGCAGGAGAATCACTTGAACTCGAGAAGCGGAGGTTGCAGTGAGCTGAGATTGCCCCATTGTACTCCACCTGGGTGACAGAGTGAGACTCTGTCTCAAGAAGAAAAAAAAAAATTGACAAAATGGTTTGCGGTTATAACCGATAAGGACTCTTAAAAACAACATTTGAAAAAGAACTGAAATACATAAACACACCTTTTAAAGAACGGAAGTATATACACATTCCTTTTTTCTTCAGTTTAGCTCTTTTATCAGAATTAGCTACTTTTCAGAGTATTTGTTTCTCAGACCAATGTAAAATTTTTGTACCATTATTTTTCTGTTGTTCTTTTCCTGTCATGCCTACTCCCCACCCTACCCTCTGCCAGTGGCTGTTTTCTCCAGGATATTCACTTAGTAAATAATCTCAGTTTCTACTGTGTGTCAGGCCTAATTTTAGGAACTGGAATTATAGCAGTGAGACAAATAGACAAAAATTCTTCTTGTGGAGTATACCACAGGAATTAGCAATCTACTACCCATGGTCCAAATCCTCTTGGTAGCCTGTTCTGTAAATAAAGTTTTATTGAAACATAGTCATGCTAACTTACCTTTGCAATAACAGTTGAACACTTGCGGCAGGGAACACATGGCTCATAAAGCCTCAAATGCTATGAAGTTTACTAACCAATGTTTCACACAGGTATTACCTGTGAAGAAAACAAATAATAAAATAGATAAACTATATAGTGTTTTGATGTCAATAAGTTCTAAGAAGAAAAATCAGGAAAGGTATATGGGCAGTATAGGAGTGGGGGTACTACGCAGTTTTTACATGGTTGTAGGTCTAATGGAGAACGTGATATTCGAAGGGGTAAGGCATGCAGCAAGTGCCATGTCTGTATTCAAAAATAAGGAGACCAGTATAGATTGAGCAGAATGAGTGAGGAATGAGTAGTGGGAGATCAAGGCAGATAGGTACAGAGGGACAAGTTCATGTAAATCTTATTTGTCTTACTTGATCTTTGAATGAGATGGAGAAGCATGGGAGAGGAACCATTAGAGCTTTTTTGTTCTCTTTTTGGATAGCTGTATTTTCAGAAGGATTTTATTGTATTGGATTAATACTCTCCTAGTTGATCTTCTGGTGTTCTATTTTGTGATAAAAAAAATTGAGTAAGGTTAGTTTCTCATAGACAGCCGTTGAGATACAAGTCTATCATATCCCTTCTAAGTGTTTTCTTTACATGAAATATTTTAGCCTTTCATTTGTGTCTCATGTGTCAGGCTTTTTTGAACTGCATAGTATCTTAATCAGATTAATCCAGGCAAAAATTTAGAGTGGTACCTACAGTTGTGGATATATTTTAAAGATGTGCCAAGGGAGATGAAGGACTTAGATGTGAAATAAATGAATACAAAGAAGAAAATGAAAAGTTAAACCTATCCAAAGGAAATCAATTTTAAATATTTTGTTTAGAGTGGGAAACTGTGAAAAGCTCAGAACCTGTTAAAGAGACGGTCCAGACAACTCAGAGCCCAACTCCAGTTGAAAAGGAGACAGTGGTTACAACCCAGGCAGAGGTTTTCCCTCCTCCTGTTGCTATGTTGCAGGTTAGTGTTGAAGTGGGTTTTTTTTCCTTAACGTGTTGTTGCACATTTCTGTTTTTACTCATGTATTTACTTTATAAAATGGACGAAAAAGGCCATATCAGAATAAATAACAGTAGTGTTAGGGAAAAGAATATTTCTTTTAAATCTCTTTTTTCTGCTAATGCTGTGGTATCATTGCGCTAAACACATTAAGTTTAAAATAAAGGTAAATATGGAAATACTGTTTCTGAGAACTCACAGGATTTTTTTTAGATTCACGTTTTTCTGAGAAGTCAAATTGATAGAACAATAAGTTATTTTAATGAGTTTAATCAAATACTTTTTGAAAAATTGTTTTTAGAAATGATGTTATTTGTATTTTAAAATGTTTATTGAACAAATTATTTATTTAGTATTGGCTCTGTGACACTCTTCTAGGCATCAGTGAAAAATCCCCACAAATCTCTGCCCTTTTAAGAGCTTTTATTCTCAGTAGTGGTGACAGAAAATGTAAAATAAATATGATTGTGAAATTTTATGGAAGGAAAAAGGTAGTGTAAGGCTAATCTATTTTGGTGAGGATAAACCTAATTGAGAATGAGAAATTTGAGCAATGACTTAAAGGCACTAAGGGACCTGGCTAGCTGATGAAAAAACATTGTATTCAGAGGCAGCAACCAGTGCAGAAGTCCAATGCCAGGAATATGGTCTCATGTTCTAGGAGTGAAAAGTGGGCTAGAATAAAGCCAGTGAAAGGCAAGTTAGTTAAAGATAAACCTAAGTACTTTGCCTTTCACTTGGAATGAGATGAGGATGATATGTCTTTACATGTGACAAAAGAGAGATGAGGAGCCATTGGAGGATTTTGAGCAGAGGAGTGACTTGATCTGGCTTACAGTTTTGAAGGATAACACTGGCTACTATTTTGAGAATAGGCTGTAGTGAGCATTGAGCAGGGAGACCAGCTAAAAGACAATTATAGCAATCCAGATGAGAGCTGGTGGTGGCTCAGAATAGAGTTCTAGCAGTGGAAATAATAAGAAATGGTCAGATACTAGGTGCATTTTGAAGGTGTAACCAACAGGACTTTTTTTTTTTTTTTTTTTTTAGCATGATTGGATTTGGGATTATGAGCAAAAGCAGAGGCAAGGTTTTTAGCCCAAGAAATTGGAAAGATAGAGTTACCATTATCTGAGAATGGGAAAGACTGTGGGAAGAGTTCTTTTGGGAAGGACAACTGGAAATCCGTTGGTTCATATGTGTTCAGTAGAAGTATCTTTTAGTCAACACAATTGAGATGTTGAATAGACACTTAATATAATGTGAAGTCTAGAAGAGAGATAAAGCTGTGGTGCAGTTAAATATTTGTGACTTTTTGTACCTAGAATGAGTAAAAGGTACTTAAGCTGGGATAAGAAAATAAATTCATGAGAGATTAAGCCATTCTAAAGCTGTCATTGACATGCTTCCTAAAGGTAGTTAGGCTGCATAACATAGGTAGGTATTACTAAGCTGAGGGGGAGATGGCAGTTTAAAATGGAGCATAATATTCAGTATTGAACTAGGTGACCATCACTTTACATAACTTGAATGTAAGATAAAAATCACAATCTCCACGTAAAAATTGTCTGTTGAATGACACTGCCTTGTCTTTACCCTAAGTAGATTCACTTGCAAGTACACTAAAACTAGGGATAAAACCCTTTTTAATGGTCTTTATTACCTTCTTGAAAGAAATAGAATAATTTGCCTTTAGTTGTTCCAAGATACAGGTGAATAAACTGATGAGTGAATTTTTTTGTCTATCCACAAAAGATTCCAGTGGCGCCAGCTGTGCCTACAGTTAGTTTAGTCCCACCAGCATTTCCTGTGTCGATGCCAGTTCCTCCTCCTGGATTCAGTCCAATCCCTCCACCTCCTTTTTTACGAGCAAGTTTTAACCCTTCACAACCACCACCTGGTAAGGAATTTTTGTTTTAATATTTGAACTCTATTTAGATTACCATTTAAGTTCTTCCAGATTTAAATGCGACAGATAGTGGTTCTGAGACCTTAGCATGCATAGGCTTGTTAAAGAACAGATTGCTGGGCCCATCCTCTGCTGTTTCTGCTTTACTAGGTCTGTGGTAGGGCCAGAGAGTTTTCTTTTCTAAGTTGTTCTCAGGATGTGCCAGGAGAAGCACTGACAGAGAAAAATGGAATTTTTTTAGAATAATTGAAAATCATGGCTGGGCACAGTGGCTCACATCTGTAGTCCTAGCACTTTGGAGGCCAAGGTGGGCAGATCACTTAAGGTCAGGATTCGGGACCAGCCTGGCCAACATGGTAAAATCCCATCTCTACTTAAAAAATACAAAAATTAGACAGGTGTGGTGGCACATGTCTGTAATTCCAGCTGCTCTGGAGGCTGAGGCAGGAGAATGGTTTGAACGTGGTAGGCAGAGGTTGCAGTGAGCCAAGATCGCACCACTGTGCTCCAGCTTGAGTGACAGAGCAAGATTTTGTCTCAAAAAAAAAAAGGAAATAAAAAGAATTATTACTCTTAAAATAATGTAAAATTTTTGTTTCAGTTTTTATATGAAAGTTCTCTAATAATTATCAGCATTTCTTCAGAAAATTTGCAGTGTACCTCCTAAGAATCAGTAGGCTCCATTTGGACATTAGAAATTATATTTAAAAGGCTAATTAAATTTGGAATACTTTGTTTTGACCTAATAAATTTTATTCTTTAAATATGGAACGCTTCATGAATTTGTGTGTTATCCTTGCACAAGAGCCATGCTAATCTTCTCTGTATCATTCCAGTTTTAATATATTTGCTGCCAAATCAAGCACTGACCTAATAAATTATTGATAAACACAAAAAGTTTCTTCAATTGTAGTTTCTAGGTAAAAACCATAGATTACTTAAACACATCTAATCAACTAAATATGTAATTTAAGATAGAGCTTTTAGGCGGGGTATGGTGGCTCACACCTGTAATCCCAGCACTTTGGGAGGTTAAAGTAGGATTGCTTGCATCCACGAATGCGAGACCAGCCTAGGCAACAGAGTGACACCCTGTCTCTACATAAAAATAAGAAAATAGACAGGTATGGTGGGACACAGCTGTAGTCCCAGCTACTCGGGAGGCTGAGGTGGGAGAATTGCTTGAGCTCAGGGGTCAGAGGCTACAGTGAACTCTGTTTGTACCACTGCACTCCAGCCTGAGTGACAGACTGAGACCCTGTCTCCCAAAAAACAACAACAAAAAAACCCAGCTTTTATTATTAGACCATGGGAGGTTAGGTTAGAATGATGATGGAGAGATTGTTGTGAACTCCTGGACACAAGAGACCTCCCACCTCAACTTCCCAGAGTACTCGGATTACAGGCATGAGTCACCACACCAGCCTAAAAACTCCATCTTAAACTATATAAGCAATTATGTATGTTTAGTTGATGAGATATGTGTTTAAGTAATCTATAGTTTTTACCTAGAAACTCTAATTCAAGAATTTTTTATCAAATTTATTGGGTCAAAACAATATATATATTATTTTTCAAAATTAAACAATCTATTTCAATTTATGAATTATTTGCATATTAGAAAAGAAATACAGTATGTTGACTTTTGTAACTTAAGTTCTTAGATGTTGGGTAGAGTTTTTAGCAAGACTAAAAAAGTTTGAGAATGGTTGTAATTTATAGGTCATGTAAGCAAATGTATTAAGTTACAGTTTAATGTGTAATTGGAAATTGATACAGATTTTAATAACTTTATTTTATTTTGAGACAGAGTCTTGCTCTGTCACCAGGCTAGAGTGCAGTGGCATGATCTCAGTTCACTGTAACCTCCAGTTCCCAGGTTCAAGCCATTCTCCTGCCTCAGCCTCTGGAGTAGCTGGGACTGCAAGTGGGCGCCACCATGCCTAGCTAATTTTTTGTATTTTTAGTAGAGATGGGGTTTCACCATGTTGGCCAGGATGGTCTTGATCTCTTGACCTTGTGATCCGCCCACCTCGGCCTCCCAAAGTGCTGGGATTACAGGCATGCGCCACTGAGCCCAGCCAATAACTTTATTTTAAATATTGAAAAGTTTGTGAAAAATATTTTGTATTTGTGATTTCAAAATTTAAAATTATTTCAGAAGATATTTTTAAGTGATTATTTGAAAAATCATACCACATAGCCTTTATAGTAATTGTTCCTTGTTAATTTGTTGAAAAATCACGTCTTCTTTCTTTATTTTTAGCCACTTATTTAAAAAGGTATATTTTATTAAGAATAAAGTTAAAAATTAAATATGTATATCATATGATTTACCACAAAACTTAGTTGCAATCAGGATTGTAAGAGGAGGAACAAACCTTGAATATCAAAGATTTTACAGTTTAAAATTCTTTTGGCCACTATTTTTTAGTTGAATGTAATGTAGCTTTATATTTCACAAAATGCAAAGAAGCAAACTTAAGATTTGATATTTAACATGATTAAGAAGTTGAGCGCCATGGTATGTTGCTCTGATCCCAGCTACTAGGGAGGCTGAAGTAGCAGGATTGTTTGAGCTCAGGAGTTTGAGATCAGCCTGAAAAACAGACTCGTTATCTAAAATTAATTACTTAATTGAAATCATTAAAAAGCCAATATTAAATTGAAAATTTACTTCAATTCTTAAAACATAGTGTTATCCACAGTTAACAGAAATATTTTGACCTAGTGAGTAAATGATACAGATGTATCAAATAAAGTAGCGTATTTGACAGATGACATTATTGCATATAGCATGATCCATAGCTTGAAATAGAATGTTTAACTCTCCCTATGTCATCACTGTTAATAAACAGTTTACTTGGCTCCTATTAATCTTTGATTATATAGCACCGTAGAGCATGCCACAGGACTTGAATGAGTAAATTAATAGGATATTCTCATAAATCAGGATCTTTTTGCTTTACCTAGCTTATTAGGGATCAAATAAGGTTTTGTGTATAAAAGCCATTTTTAAAATAGAAAATACATATACAAATAGGAGGTTGTAGTCCATTTTAAGAATATGGAGTTTCATTTGTTTGATTTAAAATAAGTGATTTTTCTTGTGCTATTTTATTTTTGGGATTTTTTTCCATGTAGGTTTTATGCCGCCTCCAGTTCCCCCACCAGTTGTGCCACCCCCTACAATTCCACCAGTAGTACCAACATGTAAGTTTTCCACTTTAAGAGTTTTCTTTATTCATGGTAGTGTTCGTTTTAGTTTTAGTTTGTGTCAGTTCTCCTTGTGATTTACCATTAATTTTTTTGTTACGAAAGTTTTAAGACAAATGCATGTCAGATAATTTCTGAAATAGAGTAAATGATAGTTCTTATTTAAATTTGCTTGATTGTCTTAAAATGTCTTATGATTGGTTTTATTTTAATCAAAATTCAAAGAAGGTGCTCTCATCATATTTGTGTGTTTTTGGTTTTGCTATGTGTATGTCTTAATGTAGTGTAGTCCTGCCCCAGTCCTACATTCCTTTTCTTAATGCTTCATGATTTGTCGAAGAAACAGTTCAATTCTATATATATAAGAGCTTAAATAATGGATTTGGTTTTTTGCTTCTTAGTGGTACTGAAATTACTCTTTGCATTTCCTGTAAAATGGAAGTTAGCACCAAAGGCTTGCTTAGATTTTGGTAGGTTTAGTATATATCACATCAGAAGTCATGCAGTGCCTTTTTGTCCTCCTATCCCACACTTTTTTTGGGGGGAGTGTAAAACTTTATTTTTTAGATCAGTTTTCTAGGTTCTTAGCAAAATGGAGCCAAAAGTACAGAGGATTCCTTTAAGCCCCCACCCACCATACATGCACAGGCTCTCATTGTCAACATCCTCCACCAGAGTGGTATGTGTATTACAGTTAGTCAGCCTATACTGACAAATAATTATGACACAAAGTCCTTAGTTTACATTTTGGTTCACTCTTGATGCCTTGTTCCCCTTTTAATGACATTAAGATTGATCAGAACGTTCAGTGGAACAGTGGAAACTGGTCATTAAAAACATTTCCTTTCATCCATTGATCATTGTTTCTTAGATCTACTTTTCATTTGTTGCAGAGTGGTAATCTTTCTAGATGTATAATTCCTTGCATGTTACTTAGCTTAAGTGAAGAAAATGTTTTCCTTCATCAGGTAATGGAACTTAGTTACCTTGAAGTATGGTTTGTACAGGAAAGTCAGGTTGGATGCTCTTTTTTCTTTAATTGCCATTTCTCAGGGTCATGAGTTCTATAGGTATTTCCAGTGATATCCAGTGACTGAAGAGAGATTTCTCTTATTTCTTCTCATCTTGTCCTCCCTTGTCCCCCTCCCCTTCTTTTTTCTCCTTCAGTTTTTTTTTTATTATTTATGGATTAATGAATTTTTACTTCAAGTCAGTTGCATAGATATTTTTAAAGGAAATGTTTTTAATGACCAGTTTCCACTGTTTCACTGATCAATCTTAATGTCATTAAAGGGGGAACAAGACATCAAGAGTGAACCAAAATGTAAACTAAGGACTTTGTGTCATAATTATTTGTCCTACACTGACAAATAATTATGACACAAAATTGTTATCATCTTTGGACAGTGGGAGACCTGTGTTGCCTCCCTGTGCTTTTGAGATGATTACTTAGTTTTGAGAACTGCTTAGCTTTCTGGCCCAGTATATCCCAGACTAATCTTGTGTTTTCCTCCCTCCAGTCTGAGAATCAGCCATTTTTCCGGTTGGGGTTTGGTATCTAGAGAATTCAATCTGGGTTCTAGATTCTCATTTTGCCCTTGGGTTTTCATTGAGTCTAGGAATTTTTAGTGGACAAAACTAGAAAACATGCATTTTGAACAGAAAAAAAATGAATATGTACTATTATTTAAAAAATTAGCTACTTTGATTTTTATATTTGCCTCTGTTCTCATATACTGAAAACAGTAACATGATTGCTTTTCGCTATCATACAATACAGACATACAGATAAACATAGTAGTTTGAAAGTAGTGTTACTGTCAATAAGGCTTCCTGATGAAACTAAGATTTCTCTACCACTTTTTTATCCTAAAGGTGTATAAACATAACTTAGGGGTACATGTACAGGTATCTATAAATATGTGTTTGTTACATGAGTAACCTATATAACAAACATGAGTTTACCTACATAACAAACCTGCATAAGTACCCCTGAATCTAAAAGTTTAATAAAAAAATGTATAATCAAATTACTGTTTTTCAAGGTTACCTGAAATAAATTTTTTCTTTGTAGTTGTGGTACCAGTTTCATATGTGATTTTTAAAAAAATTTTTATGAAATATATACTCTAGCCTACTTGGTTTTAATATCTATTTTCTTTACTAGAGTAGACATTTCAAAAGTAATGTAATTCAACCATAAATACAGACATTTATTCATTTTCTTTTTCCTATCAGTGGACATTATAGAAATGCTAAATATACCCTTTTAATAATTTTTTCATTCTAGTCTACTCTTTATAGTAAATCTCCAGGCGTCTGAAAAAACCTTGAGTAATTCAGGCAAGCCTACCTCAAAAGTTAGACTTGAAGAGGTATATGATTATAGAGATTTTAACTTTTGAGTAACTACTTCATTTTCCTTGTATTCTTAAACTCTTTCTCCCTTTCAGTGTTTACATAGCTTTAAAATTTGGCTGGGTATGGTGGCTCATGCCTGTCATGTCAGCACTTCGGGAGGCCAAGGCAGGCAGATCCCTTGAGGTCAGGAGTTTGAGATGAGCCTGGCCAACATGGTGAAACCCTATCTCTACTAAAGATACAAAAATTAGCCAGTCGTGGTGGCGTGTGCCTGTCATCCCAGCTACTCAAGAGACTGAGGCAGGAGAATCACTTGAACCCAGGAGAAAGAGGTTGCAGTGAGCTGAGATCACGCCACTGCACTCTAGCCTGGGCGACAGAGTTAGACTCCATCTCAAAAAAAAGATAGATTTAAAAGTCTTTTTTTGTTATTGTTGGTTCATTAGGAAGAATTGTTTATTCTTTCTGATGATTAGACAAGTGTTCAGAAGTCATTTCTGAATTCACTATTCACAGAGGCCTGCCGTAGAGCCCACCTCCCAATTTTTTCTTAGTTCACTAATTTTGGAAAATCTGCAGTCAATTAATGGAAAAAGAGAAATAGTTTAGTGCCAGGTGTCCAGGTTGCTTTTGCTGTCTCATTTAATTCTTTCACATGACCACAGTTGGTTTTATTTTTGTAATTCTGTTGTTTGCTAACCATTTGTTCAGGTAATCTAGAGTTACTTATAAAGATAAACATTTCCTAAAGTTTCCAAGTATGATTTTACAGTATTCTAAGTGACATAAATTGGACTGAAAGTTGTAAAAATTGTGTAATTATTTTGTATTCCTCTGGTTGTGTGTGATGTATATGCATTTAGGGATTTTTCTACCCATTCTTTAAGATGGAAAGTTTATGACTTCATATTTGTAGTCCACACTCATCTGTTGAGTTTCTAACTTCATTTAACAAAAGGTAATGTTAAACGAATGTTTGGACCCTAGTACATTGTAATTGCAGGGGGATTAGGCAGCCTTTCATATTCATACATTTCAGTGTGCACTAGTCATTTCTGTATGTTTAGATATTCACTTATCTGGCATTCCTGGAAAATTATTTATTTTTTTGTAGCTCGAATTTACTTTTTGAGTGCTGGTCTTAACATTTTTGGTGAAATATTTCTGAAAATTGTTAGTTTTCCCTATTTTTGGATAAAGGTTTCATGATGCCTCATTTGCCATTTGAGCATTTGTTATTATATAATGTGCTTAGTAATACAGAGATGCCATTAAATTAAATACGTTTTAGCACATCAATTGACTAATTAAATCTGAAATATATTTTTCTCCTCTTTAAACAGCTTTAGTGCAGCCGTCATTATCCCTAACCCCGGAAACTGTGAAAGATGTTGGATTTGGTAGCCTTGTTATACCAGGTGGTTCTGTTGCCGGCAATCTTGCTACTTCTGCACTACCAGCTGCAAATGTTTTTAGTGCTCCAGCTAAACAAGCAGAGCCTGAAGAAAAAGTACCTCATCTTATAGACCACCAGATTTCTTCTGGTGAAAACACCAGATCAGGTAAATAATACTAGTAAAATTTAAAAAGTTAAGTCTAAGCTAGGTTGCCTTATTTGTTGTTTAATTCTGAGATGGCATGCATTTGTAACGACTACAATCTACAAATGTTGAAATGTTGTACTTTTTTTTGAAAGAGATCACTGTCCTAAAATATCTATTTTAAAAAAATAGCGTTCTATTCAGGATGATCTAGATTTCAATACCTTTCCATAAAGACCCTCATACCACCATCCCTTTTTTTTTTGTCCTATTGGGACTACTTCAGTGTGTTGTCAAAATAATATTGCACAAAATCTGTATACTTACAGGAAGATAAAAATGAGCAAGTATTGGATGGGAATAACTTCTGCCAGGAACTTACTTCTAATAGGTATTATCCAGCTAGATCTAGAAGGTAAATACAGTGTTTGAAAGCAGTAAGTCCTTTTTCTATGGTCCCACTGTTGGTCCATTAAGAATTATGGTTTAGAGGCACTTGACCTTGATGCCCACTTGGGTCTCTTCCAAGCATACTTTCCTTTCCTTTCCTTTCCTTTCTTTCCTGTTCTAAAGCCTTTTAAATAAACTTCCATTCCTGTTCTTTTCTTTAAAAAAAAAAATGGTTTTGAAAGGCTTTTAATAAAAGTGGAAAATAAGCATAACCTGACATTTTTAAGTTAAAAGATTTCATGTAGTAGCTAGCGTACCTTGATTATTGCAGGATACAAGTAGCTGATTAAGCTAAAATTATTGGACATTTTTTACTGTTATTTTGAATTATTTCTCTCTCTTTTTTATTTTAGTGATTCCAAATGATATTTCAAGTAATGCTGCAATTTTAGGAGGACAGCCGCCAAATGTGACAAGCAATTCTGGAATTCTGGGAGTCCAAAGACCAAATGTATCAAGTAATTCTGAAATTCTTGGGGTCCGGCCATCTAATGTTTCCAGTAGTTCTGGGATTATTGGAGTCCAACCACCAAGTATTCTAAATAACTCTGGAATTTTGGGAATACAGCCACCCAGTGTGTCAAGTAGTTCTGGACTTTTGGGAGTGCTACCCCCAAATATACCTAACAATTCTGGACTTATAGGAGTACAGCCACCAAATGTTCCAAATACTTCTGGACTTCTGGGAACACAGCCACCAGCCGGACCTCAAAACTTACCCCCTTTAAGTATCCCTAATCAAAGGATGCCCACAATACCAATGTTAGACATTCGTCCAGGACTAATACCACAGGCACCTGGGCCAAGATTCCCTTTAATACAGCCTGGACTTCCACCCCAACGGGGAATCCCACCCCCATCGGTACTTGATGCAGCTCTTCATCCACCACCCCGTGGACCTTTTCCTCCAGGAGATATTTTTAGTCAGCCTGAAAGACCTTTTCTAGCTCCTGGAAGACAAAGTATAGACAATGTTACTAACCCAGAAAAAAGGATACCACTTGGGAATGATAACATTCAACAGGAGGGAGATAGAGATTACCGGTTTCCTCCTATAGAAACCAGGGAAGGCATTAGTAGACCTCCCCCTGTGGATGTTAGAGATGTGGTGGGGCGGCCTATAGATCCAAGAGAAGGTCCTGGACGGCCTCCACTAGATGGTAGGGATCATTTTGGAAGACCTCCTGTAGACATAAGAGAGAATCTTGTGAGGCCAGGTATAGATCATCTTGGTCGAAGAGACCACTTTGGCTTTAATCCAGAGAAGCCCTGGGGGCATAGAGGAGATTTTGATGAGAGAGAGCATCGCGTTCTACCGGTCTATGGTGGTCCAAAAGGCTTACATGAAGAAAGAGGTAGATTTCGGTCTGGAAACTATCGATTTGATCCTAGAAGTGGTCCTTGGAACAGAGGATTTGGACAAGAAGTTCACAGAGATTTTGATGACCGCAGAAGACCCTGGGAGAGGCAAAGGGATAGGGATGACAGAGATTTTGATTTCTGCAGAGAAATGAATGGAAATCGTCTTGGACGAGACAGAATTCAAAACACTTGGATCCCTCCTCCTCATGCTCGGGTTTTTGATTATTTTGAAGGGGCCACTTCTCAACGAAAAGGTGATAATGTGCCTCAGGTTAATGGTGAAAATACAGAGAGACATGCTCAACCACCACCTTTACCAGTACAGAATGATCCTGAACTTTATGAAAAACTGACATCTTCAAATGAAATAAGCAAGGAGAAGAGTGACACAGTTGCTGATATAGAAAGTGAACCAGTGGTAGAAAGCACAGAAACTGAGGGGACATAATCATCACTCAGTAGGTAAAAGATACCTTTTGTAAAGTTGTCATCTCTCTGTAATAGATAATGGCTGACTGGACCATAGTTGTTCACTTTTGTCTGCCAGAATTAAGTTAATCTGATGTTCATGTTCACCTTTCTCTTAAAATAATTGTACAACTGACTTGTATAGACATTGTTCTTAATATGAACATGGTAGGTAAACTTTTTTTTTATTTTTCTGATAAAAATATAAATGTTGCCCCCAGATTCTTTTAACGTCAAGGAAATGAATAACAGCTTGTCAGAGACTTCCTATGGAAGAAAGAATTTTTTAGATAACTATCATTAGGTTGGATATGGTAATAGATATATTTCAAAATAGCAAGTGGTGGTATATCTTATCCATATCTTTAGGCTGCTGCAGAATTTTAAGGTTATAGACAAAGCTGTGATATTTTATGCAAAGACTGGCTCTAGGTATTTGAGGAGCACAATACAGAGATTTTAAAAAGTGATTTTGTAAAATCTACACTATGGTCTCTGTTTCTCCAAAGTAAGTGTTTGTGATTTGTTCCTCATACTGCAGTGAGTAAAAAAGAAACAAGAAAACAACAACATAAATATTAAAGTACGTTTCAATGTTGGGTGAATTTTGTTTTTAGATGCCAATAAAACTTATTTGTTTGATAACAGTGTTCTAGGAATTGTATTTTTTTAACCTATAAATTCTTAAAACCTTGAATTATTATTAGCATGTGCTAATTTTTTGCAAAAGCTTTCTATCATAACAACAGTGACGAACTATGTGGTGGAAAAAGCATGTACTTTGATATAAAAATCATGCAGTCTTCTCAGTATGTGTATAATATCTGTATATTTATTGTGTAAGTCATGTAGTTTTTTTTCTGTTTCTCTGTATGTCTGTCTTCATGCACATACAGAGAAAATAGAAAGGTGGGTTTAGATAATAAAGTATTATTTAAAATCTTATAGAAAATTGGAGAAATTTGGCTAATTAACATGGCTTATAGTTAAAGCTCTTAGTCTTGGTGAAGGTAAAATAAGAGATCTTATAAAGAAATACATTGGCAGTTTGTCAATTCTATTTTTTAATATAGTTAAGCATGAAGCCAGATTTAGCATGGAGCTAAATTTCACATAAATGCTTGCATTGCTTTGTTTCACACTATATTTGCTGTTCTGCATAGATAGTACTGGCACTAAAGTACTCACTGGTCACGTGTCTGAAATTAATTTCTTAATTGCACAAAATGTGTAGTGGTGCTAGTCGACTTAAAGACATTAATATGTATACCATGAACAAAATACCCATCACGTGTTTTATAGGGCTCTAGGTAACACTGTATCCTCCAAGGTAAACTGAGTAGAAAAAAAATTAGGGGTTGGCCTCTTGTTTGTTTTTGCTTTTGCTTTTAATTTTTTTTATTTGCTGTTTGTTCTCCTTTAGAATTTACTTACATACACATAGATAAAACCGTTGGTGGTTTTGAGTTTCTAATGGAAGGCTTTTATTTGGTTCTATGAATAGTCATTTTTGTTTCCAATGCCTTTCCAGCAATTCATCATTTGCTCTGTTTATCTAAAATTCCTAAGCAAAGATAGCTCCAAAAAAGGATAGAGCACAGCAGACATTTAAAATTCGATTGGTCTTGCCTACCTCTAATGACCTAGAGAGCTATAAGAACTTTAAGGTTCCTGGCCAAAAATAAAAGACTTCTTGCAAATTCTGAACAGATAGTACATTATTTATTTTGTTTAGAAAAGTAAAGAGTAAAAATGTTTAAATGGTGTTTATTTCCAAGATAATTCAATTCAATCAATAATTTGAGTTGGTTTTAGCTCTTTTTTCCTTAGGGTAATAAGGAAAAACTGTTATATGGGTATAAAATTTTAATGTTCAGGAAATACTGGCCTTGCCCTTAAGGAAATTATATTGGCTGAGATTTCTCTCAAACTAGTTTAGTTGTGTTTACCATTATTAAAATTAAGTGACATTCACTTGGGTTAAGTAGCAATAAAAAGCATGAGACTTTCTAGTAATTTTTGATGCCAAGCTTTTTATCACTGTTGGGCCTTCATGTGTGTACTTGAAAAAAATAATGTACAAGCATTGCACTCGTTTGAAGATTCTAGTGGCGAAAGTTACCCTACCCAGTTATCAATACTGTGTCTAGAAACCAATCTTGGAAATGTGTGACAACACTCTTAAAATAGCGGAAAGAAATTACTGTGTGCTTGTTCTTTGTCTTTATTTTTTTGTTGTATAGAATTTAAGTGAAAGGAGATTCTCCCAATTCAGAATTTTCAAAACTCATAATTGCATTTGCCATTTATTAAATGATAGAAAAATTAATTATCTTTGTTAAATTTGGCATAGGACCTATCACATTTTTTATGCTTTTGGTCACAATTCTGTCACTAGAATGCTAGCAATTAGAAATGTTCAAGGAATAACCTAACCAATTGAATATATTGGTTTGAAGTGTTGCAAGCAGTGATAACTAGACACCAAATCATGTAACATTTTAATTTGTGACATGTTAGAATGATACACCTTTCTGCAGCATTAGCGAACAGAACCACTAATTTTTAAATTTTTATCTGTAAACATTTCATTAAACATTAGCTTGTGTTCTTAGCATAAATGCATACACTGCTAGAAACTTATTTTATAGCAGAGTATTCTATCTGTATCATATTATGGAGAGAATATTCCTTTATTCTAATTTTATTTCAATAAAGAGCAGACAGATAATTTGAAAGTATTGGAAGGTGAAAATACTAGATGTTTGAAATTATTTAAAACTCTGGAAGTAACTCCATATAATTCCTTGATAAAATTGCATTTATTATTTAAGCTATTGCATTCTTACCAGACTAGTTCCTTTTGTCCTGAGAGTTTAGTCGCTTTTTCATTTTTTGCCATTTTTCACTCATATAAAAGACTATAGTTTAAGAAGCCACACATTTGGGGTTGTTTGGGGGTTAGGGGACTTTGTAAGTTTAAAAAGAAGTAGTCACCTTTTTAATTCCAAAAATTCCTTTTTTTTTTTTTTTTCCAGACGGAGTCTTGCTCTGTCACCCAGGTTGGAGTGCAATGGCGGGATCTCAGCTCACTGCAACCTCTGCCTCTCTGGTTCAGGCCATTTTCCTGCCTCAGCCACTCAAGTAGCTGGGATTACAGGCACCTGCCACCATGACCGGCTAATTTTTGTATTTTTTAGTAGAGACAGAATTTCACCATGTTGGTTAGGCTGGTTTCAAACTCCTGACCTCAGGTGATCCACCCAACTCAGCCTCCCAAAGTGGTGGGATTACTGGCGTGAGCCACCGCACACGGCCCTAAAAAAGTACTTTTTAAATAAATACTGTATTTCATGGGATATAAGGTGCCATTGATTGTAAGAAACACCATTCAGAAATAGAAAATGCTTCCAGTACGACATGCTAGTAATTATAGATACCTTCCTAATTCAGAGATTAATGTGAAGTTTCTTAGTATCAAATAAATACAGTATTTATTATTGAAATGGACTTTGAATTCAGTGAGAACATATGAATATTACTGTTATCAATTAATTTGAATAAATTTTCCAACAGTCTAAACTTTCATATACACACACATCCCCTTAAGTGATTTAGAGAATATTTTAATCTTTTTCCTCACAACCTTTAATGAACAAGAAGATTCTAATATTAAAACTTGGTTATACCTTATGTGCCTTCATCATCATTACTGGGTGCTATATTAATAAAATATTTACTTGGCTTTTAACTTACAAAGAAAACTTTGGCATTTTTCTCTTTAAAAATAAATATTTTACTTATATATAGAAAGGCAGGTATCTTTATATTCATTTTTAAGTTAGGCAAAATAAAACTCTATTATTTTTTTCCTTGAGATAGAGTTTCACTCTTGTTTCCCTGGTTAGAGTACACTGGCTCAATCTCGGCTCATTGCAACCTCTACCTCCTGGGTTCAAGTGATTCTCCTGCCTCAGCCTTTGGAGGATCTGGGATCACAGGCATACACCACCATGCCTGACTAATTTTGTATTTTTAGCAGAGACGGAATTTCACCATGTTGACCAGGCTGATCTCAAACTCCTGACCTCAGGTGATCTGCCTGCCTCAGCCTCCCAAAGTGCAGGGATTACAGGCATGAGCCACTGCGCCCAGCCAGCTCTAAATTATTTTAAGTAGTCATAAATACTACAGTGTGGCAGAGAATTATAAATATTTCCTTAATATTGTTCATGCTGTAGTTTTATATATGATATCTTTTAAACTATACCCAATTGTAGACACTGAATTTGTTTTTACTTCTGAAGAAAAATATTGATTATTATAATTTTTAATGGAAGGTTTAAAACCAAGATATTTTGATGTCCAGCAAAACTTCTAAACCTAGAACTTAAAAAAGGGCCTAGATTGTTTTCTTTTGGTGGAAAGACATACTTTAAATACAGGCATATAAATATTGAAAGCAATTTGAGATGTCCTCTCTCTGTGGTCCTCATGCAGGAAGTGGATAACAGAATCACCTGTGGAGCTCTCTGAAAATATTTTGGGGGAATGGGGAGTAGGGGGTGTCAGCATAGACTTACTAATGCAGAATCTCCTGAGGATAATAAATATATATAATATATGCGTACACACACCTTGTGTATGTATGGTTTTCAAAATCCCCACAATACCACCATTTTAGATAAAATATGTAAATATTTATTACACCATATGCAAGATTCTTAAAGTTTAAAAAAATCCAAATATCATAGTTACATGAAATTATTTTTTATTGTTTGAGCGAAGCATACAGTTAATTATGGCAGTTGGTCTTGGAGGATGAATCCAAAATAGAGAAGTCAGTCATCACAGCTTAAGTATTAAGCTAAAAATGAGTTATAGCAAGAAAGGGATGGAAGGAAGCATATGAGATTGTTTTGTAGGGAAGTATTTTTTTTTTACTCAACTGAAACTTTTCAATGGAATACCTCAAGGAAAAATTTACTTGATACATGTAATTAAATGTTTTGATTATAGAAAGAACCTCTGGAACAATATTGTAAGTGTTACTTTTATCAGGGTCTAGAAGTAACATTAGTAAGACAACTTAGATGTGCATGTCAAAAGGTAAAGCAAATCAGTGATTTATTATTGGGCATGAGCTTTGCTTAGACATTTTTCTTCCCTTCCACTTAAGTTGCTCCTTTTTCAGCAGGCTCTTTTGCTTCCATATGTATGCTTAGAATTACTTGGGCTTCTTGTTCTAAAGTTTGTTCAAGATACAGAACAAATATTCCAAGTAATTTATAAAATGCATATTGTATAGAACTGTGCTAATGGTCTAATTTCATATTGTATGAGACACATTAGATGGTTCAGTTACTGACAGAGTTTTTGCATGGAGCTCAATAGATCAAGTGTATTGTATTTGAATGGGCAATGGTGGATATATGGCACCTGGTTGTCCTGTGTTCTTTGTCCCCTACCCTCTTCTCCTATCTCCATCCCCACCACTGTGGGCAGCTATCATTGTTTTGTTTATTTTTCTGCCTTTCTCAGAGTTAGCCTCCAAATCTTTCTCATATAGCAGCACTCCAGGCTCCTTTTTGACCCTATCATTCCAGGCAAAGGATTATCAGTTGGGTTAGTTGTTTGCATTGAAAGTCATTTGCTGCCCCTTCCTTGACTAAGTGATTATTTCTGACATTGTTTCTAGCATTTAATTACCTTGAGTCTATGAAATAAGCTTTCTGTTCTGAAAATGACCAGTTGAGGAAGAAAACTAAGAGGAATGGAAGGAGACTTAACCTTATTGGAACACTTTTTAAGATAGCACAAATTTTATTGCCCTTCGCTATTTAAAACTCCTTTGACAATAGCTAGATGGCTTTGGACAAGTTACTGAGCTTCTAAACATTTGTTAATAGCTAATCTGCAGGGCTAAATTTTCTTTAAAGATAATATTAGCTAATACTAAATGGACACATGCTATGTGACAGGAACTGGAACAATTATATTACTTGCACAATATAATCCTCATGACAGTCCTATAAGGACTATTTTTCTGAAAAGAAATCCAAGTCACAGATGTAAGTTACTTTGCAGACTTACAAGTTTTAAATATTGTAGTGAAGAATTTAACTATATGTACCAGATTGAGAAATCAGTGTGTACTGTCTAATAAACTGCCTGACATGATAGAGGGTCACCTGATACCAGGCAGTATATATGCAGAAAAACATAATCCAATATGCTAGGATTATAGGTGTGAGCCCCTATAGGCACTTGGCCCCTATTTTCATCATGATTTTTTTTTCCTTAAGATACCATGGCATAATTATTTTTATATTTCTTAATAACTCGTTATTTTGGAGTCAGGAGAAAAACAACCCAGCCAGCCTTATGTTTACAGCTACAGTTAACCACTAAATTGCTTTCATTGTTACAAACATATGTCTGGCTATCTCCTTTTCCTGTAGCTAAATAATTACTTAAGTTTGATTTTCTTAGGTCTTCCTTCTCTTATCCTCTCTTCTCCCATCCCCTCCCTTCTTCTCTTTTCTCTCCTCCCCTCCTCTCCTCTCTTTTTTTTCTCTTTTTTCTTTTCTTTCTTGAGATGGGATTTCATTGCTATCCAGGCTTGAGTGCAGTGGTGTGATCATAGCTCACTGCAGCCTTGAACTCTTCCTGGGCTCAACTGATTCCTTCTGCCTCTGCCTCTGCCTCTGCCTACCAATATGCTGAGATTATAGGCGTGAGCCCCAGTAGACACCTGACCCCTATTTTCATCATTGTTTTTTTTTTCTTATGATACCGTGACATAATTCTTTTTAAATTTCTTAATAACTCATTATTTTGGAAGCAGGCATTTATGTTCAGATTTCTTTTTGAAGACACTATTTCCCGCAAAGTAAATAAATTTTTTTCTCACCCACAAGATCTAAGTAGAAATTAAAATTAAATACAATTTAAAACTCCTTATATCCTTTAAAATGCATTGTAAAGGAGAGCCAGTGATTGCTTGCAAATTTATATTTTAGGATGTGGTTTTGGCAGTTTCTTTCTAAATTAACATTTGTATACTGCTTGTAGAACTAAAACTTAGTACCATTTTCTTGTGCATAAAACTCCTATTTTAGGAATATTCCATGGCTTGAATTAAGCAAAATGTGTAAAGTTATTTTTACACATAGTAAGCATTCGGGGTTAGTGTTTAAACACCACTTCCATTCATATGAAGAGTTTAGAAACTAATCTTTGTCCTGGTGGCAATGGATAATTTGCAGTTCTTTTATCCTTATAGAATATATAACCTGATTCTGTTTTACTTTTTTTCAAGTCTTCTATTCAAGTCACTACACTTTATATTCATATAAGGTTTACTCTACAGCATCTCATGATGCTGGCCTTTTATAACCTTTTTCAGGAGTCCTTGGACAAATGAGTCTGACTGTTGTGGCCATTTTCTTGCCTGATCCACACATTGGGGAACATGTTTATCAAGTTTATGTATTTCCACTAACCTTGGTAAAAGTAATTATTTTTATTACATGAAATAAATGTTCTTGCACTTGAACAAGCACTTTCTAATAAGAGTCTGTTTATTACTGAACTAGGTCAGTTTATACATTAGCAAGGGTTTCAGTAAAGTAAGATTTGTGTTAAATCCTCAAAAGTGTAAAGGATGACTGCTATTTAAGAGTTGATATTCTGTGATGATAAAAATTGCTTTAGGGTTGCATTCATCATACAGCTGCAGTCACACCAAGGGTCAGGATATAGAGGTTTTTAACTGGCAAGACCATCATGACAACTCCATTTAGAATGGTATTTTAAATAAAATTTATTGAATATTTTAATTACAGTCCTCTATTTTCATATATTACTTTTTGCTAGCAAAACAGTCTTAACGACCATAGGTTTAATGCACTCTCACTACAAGGAGAGAAAGGTTTTGAGAGTGGAGAGACTTGAACCTGTGTGTCAGGCATTCTACATAATTTATTTTCAGAGGTACCCTATTTGATAGGCTTTGTTATCTTTTCTTTACAAATAAAGAAGCAAACTCAAAGATGCCTATGGTTACAGGGCTTTTGATTTGCATAGGTATTTGAACCCAGGTTTTGCTGACTTTAATGCTTTACCTTAAAAGATGCTCCTTTAGGATGGTAGATTTTAATAGATGGTCTGTATAATTAGTTTCCTGGGCCTCCTGTAACAACATAGAAAAAATTGGATAGTTTAACACCACAGATATTTATTCTCACGATTCTAGAGGCCAGAAGTCCAAAATCAAGGTGTCAGCAGGGCGATGCTCTCTGAAAGTTCTAGAGGAGAATCCTTCCTTACCGCTTCCGCTTCCAAACTTCTGGCAGTTCTCTGCAATCCTTAGTGTTCTTGGCTTGTAGCTGCATCACTCCAGTATTTGCCTCCAACAACATAAGGCTGCTTTTCCTCGCATGTCTGTGTTGTTTTTCCTCTGAATATAAGGATATCAGTTATATTCATTTAGGAGCCTCCCCTAATCCGGTGTGATCTCATCTTAATTACGTCTACCATGACCTTATTTCCAAATAAGGTTGTATTTTCAGACATAGTAGTTAAGACTTCAAACATATATTTTAGGGGTGAGAGACACAAGTCAGTCCGTAACAGCCTATGACAAATTGAGTAAATTGATGAATATCTTAAAAAAAAAACACATAGTCAGTAGAAGAGGCAGACACATTGTAGAGTGACAAAATACATCTAGAAATTCCATTTTTAAATTATTTTCTGTGTTACAATATTTAAATCCCTAATGCTTATATTACAAACCATTAAACAGGATAGTCAGCACCTGGCTTTTTAGCTGAATTTGTAATGTCTATATGTTTATGTTTCTTTAGTAATACTTGAACCGAAGGAATTTGCAAAGAAAACCCAGTAATATTAGTATTACATAAAAAAGAATCTAGTTACTGGATTTTTCTTACATCAAGAAATAATGCTAACTTTTAAAGGTGGAGAATTTTTTAGACGTCAGTAAATATACCTACCCTGAAAATGTGCAGCATTGTATCTTTTCTGTATGTCAGTGCTTTTAAAAAATGGACAGTGTTAGCATTTTGTCTGCTTATTAAAATTTCCTCTCTAGTGTGATATTATTATCATTTTGCCATTTCACTGTCATATTAGAAATGGTTGGGTTTTTTTAACCAAATGGATTAACCAATTTGTTTAATTTTTTATATTATTATAAGTTTAATATATTTCTTTATTTTCTCATAGTATTAGTTAGCAAAATCTATTTGATTAAGTAAAAAGCAGCTTTGGGTCTGACTGAAATCCGACTTACCTAAGTATATAGGCCTTTACTAAGTAGGTGCCTTTTAACAGGACCCCTATAACTTTTATAGAAATCTGAGTGAAGAATTCTCCTGCTTTTGTTTGTTTGTTTTTTGGAGAGCACCAAAGCACTTAAAACACTGCTTGGCACATAGTACTGTATAGGTATTCACTGTTGTTTTCATTGTCAATAATGGCTAATGGAGACTTTCGGGACATCTAAGTCAGTGTTACAGATTAATTGCAACCAATTAAGGAATTATGTATGCAAATTTGAGTATACATCCCAAAGTCGGGGAAAATGGAGTTGTATAGTTCTGGAAGTTTTAATAGGTTTTTTAAAAGCCTTCTACCTCCAAACCCTCAACTCTTTAAGCTCTATTTGTGTTTCTGGTCCTTAGTACCAACCTTTAAACACAGCTGTGTAATTCACAAGGCTATTGGGCGTGCTTCCTGTTGTCCCAGATGGTGGATCTGTCACCGAGAGATGACTGTGATCTAATCACAGGAAAAATGATTAGAAAGTTTCCTTGCTTTTGTTAATTGTCTAAGTCGAGATAGTAATAATTTACTGGTTAAAGATAGTATAGCTGATTTTCTTACTCAATTAAGTAGGAAATAAAGTTTTAAAAGTAGATTTTTTCCATGGGACTTTAAAGAAGCTAATTCTTTTGAAATGGAAAAAAGACTTAGATTTCGCCCATGAATATATTCATGGTAAAAAAAAATTATCACTGAAATTAATTAACCATTTCCTTTAATTGTGTGTGACTCAGTCCGTTGTATGGAATACCACATTTAGACAATTTTTAAAGATTGTTAACATGTCTCCATATGATAGTGAATTTGAAAAGCATATTTGTCCAGCCTGGATGATAGGGTGAGACTCCATCTCAAAAAAAAGGAAAGAAAAGCATATTGGAGGCATTTTATCCCAAAGCCTGTCAAAATAAAATTTGAGACCCTTAAAAAAGATCTCTGTCTGGGGAGAGAGATGAAGTTACTTAATTCATACTGATAGCAAAATCTGTGCAGTTATGGAATATAGGAATTCTAGATATGCATATTCTCATTCTGGAATTAAGTCATTCATAATAGCCAGTTTAGGAAAACATAGTAGGGATCTTGGTTCCAGTGGAAACCACAAAGGGCTGCAACAATGATACTTATCTGTACTTTTAAATGTGAAGCAGTCATTTAATTTCTTATTAGAGCTTAAAAACATAGCAAATGGACTTTTTGGGGGATAATACAATATTGTTACCCTCACATAGAAAGCTAGATTTGAGATGGGGCAGTCCCTTAAACTGTGCTACAACTCTTTCTTTGCCACATTGTTTAGTATAGGTTTATTTGTTGAACTAAAGCTATAGAGGACTTTAAATGGACAGAACTAAATATATAGTTTACCTGCCTTCAGATTCACAATTTCAAAGCCTTTGTATTCTGGGTACTTGAAATAAAATCAGTAGTCCACATATTAATCAGTGTAGACTAAGATTAATTTCTCAATTAGTATCAGTTTTTGAAAGACCAAAAACGGGCTCCCTTCATCCCCAAAGCAATTTCATTTAATAGTAGAGTATGTGGGAATGTTAATGGATGAAGGAGAAATTCTGATGGAGGGTTCATTACAAGTTATATAAATAAAGACACTAGCTTTTTTTGTCCCAACAAAACGCTTTAGCTGTGTTAGTATTCCAGTTATCCAATGCCTGTAAATACGAGTATGACCTTAGTTTTTTTCTGAGCCACCAAACATCAGGTGGAAGTGATTTTAAGAGGATATGTAAGAATAGTTTAGCTGTGTCTTGCACAGTTATGTTATCTGCATTCAGATAATTGAATGAGGCTAACACTTTGTGGTTAGTCATTAAGTCCTTTCAGGTATTTTGTGGGTATTTTTGGTTTTGCTTTTCCAGAGGAATACTTTTCTACTTTTCTTTTTGTTCTAAGCAGTTATAACAGCTCTTCATTCCTTTTTGTAATTTCAAGTGGTTGGTGACCTGGTGGAAAAAAAGTAATTATGAAACACTGCCTTTTGTTGAGTTGGTTATAAAATACCTAGCTAGGCATCCTGAACAAGAGCATCTATTCCAGCTGGGAATGGGTGAGCCAGGTTAATTTTCTATTTTTTTCTTTTTTTTTTTTTTTGAGACGGAGTTTCGCCCTTGTTACCCAGGCTGGAGTGCAATGGCACGATCTCGGCTCACCACAACCTCCGCCTCCTGGGTTCAGGCAATTCTCCTGCCTCAGCCTCCTGAGTAGCTGGGATTATAGGTGTGCACCACCATGACCAGCTAATATTCGTATTTTCAGTAGAGACGGAGTTTTGCCATGTTGGCCAGGCTCGTCTTGAACTCCTGACCTCCAGTGATTCCGCTGCCTTGACTTCTCAGAGTGCTGGGATTACAGGCCTGAGCCACCGTGCCAAGCCTGAGCCTGGTTAATTTTCCATGATAAGGACTTTTAATGTTACTCAACAAGTAATCTGACTTTTGTTTCTCTCTTGGCTATTTACATTTGTAGCTTAACATTTCAAATTAGTTTCTAACTTCTAATACAGCTCATAGTTGGAAATACATGCATGTAGTTGCACACATATGCATACGTGCATATGTGTATTTATCTGATACCTTATCCTCAACCTTCAGCAAGCCTTGTAGATTTTCTTTTGATTTTTTTTTTTTTATTATGGTAGCTTGAGTATTCTCTCAGGAATTAGACAACTTAAAACCAATATCATCTTTCTCTGCATAAGCCTCACATCTATTTACCAAGCCTCTTAGCACTCAGGTTTTTTTTTTTAACTTATATAGGCATATATTTATTCTGAATTTATGCTCATGTCGTAAGTTGTTTTTGTTTCTTCTGGAATATCTTTTTTTTTTTCTGTGCAGCCACAGAACAGTTGTGGCTTAGGAACAATTTCTTTCTGGCAAGGATCATCTCCATGTAGCAGAGGGAGCTCACATGTAAAGTAATCCCACCATGAGCTTTGAAAGTGCAGTGGCTGCTGCATCTTGGGTGTTTCATTCACCTGGATGTGCTCAGTGACCAGAGAACTTACATCTAAACCCTTGAGTTCAGTTACACTCTGTGTATTTAAACATGTGCAGGAAGAATTTAGCATTCTTTTTGGCTACCAACCCTGTGTTTAGCTCACTGTTTGGCCTGGCACATCTACCAACTTCACCCTGTAATGTCAGAATGGTTACACATTGTTTTGATAAAGTGACATCCTTCTGATAACTTGATCTTTTTGTATATGTGTACCTTTGATGGCCTGGGCAGTTTCATGAGTTTTCTTGAGCGAACATGACAACTTGAACCTCTTGATTTGCATGGTTTTGTAGCATTTTCTGGGTCAAGAGAATATCAAACCATTTTCACCTCAGTCCACTTAGAGGAAGAGCAAGAATTAGATTGTTGAAGCCTGATACATTTTCTCATCAGGACCTACTCAATCTTCATTAGTAAATAATGACATCTGGGTAAGGCTGTGGCTCATGCCTATAATCCCAGGACTTTGGGAGGCTGAAGTGGCAGCTCACTTGAGCTTAATAGTTTGAGACCAGCCCGGGCAACATGGTGAAACCCCATCTCTATAACAAAAATTCAGAAATTAGCCAGTTATGGTGACGTGCATCTGTAGTCCCCACTACTCAGGAGGCTAAGGTGGGAGGATCGCTTGAGCCCAGGAGGTTGAGGCTTCAGTGAGCTGTGTTTGTGCCACTACACTCTAGCCTAGGCAACACAAGGGGACCCTGCCTCAAAAAATAAAATGTAGAATAATGATATCTGTAAATTCTGCAGTAACCAGAGATTAATACTAAATGTATACTCAGTATAGAGAATGAGAGCAGGCAAGAGAATGCCTAGAATTTTCAAAGCAGTAATATTACTGAGAGCTGGCTAAAAAAATACACTTGCCTTCAGTCATTTTTGAGCCATTGATTCATCTTCTGATTTTTTATAGCCTAACAGTGCTCTTTCAAATTATTACCAGGTGCACTTAGTTGCTTTGTTACTGTGGTTCATTTTGTGGATTTGCTTTAGCTGCTTTCTTTGGACCAGCTCCTGAAAGTTAATTGAGGCTGCACAAGGCTTCCAAGAGAAGCCAGATGTACCCATGGCTGAGAGTGACACAGCAGTGGTCAGGCACGTGTCCACTGTTGGCCTTTGACCTTTTTAAGTCAATGTTTCAACCAAGAAGAAACTTATTCTGTTGTGCTTTTTTGTGACTTTTTAAAGAAAGTAATTTTATGGACTTATTAGTGGATATGATGGTTTGTTAACCACTATTCTAAACTCCTTGTTATCATACTGATGAATGGAAAATGAAGTACTTTTTTTCACTGAGTCAGTATGCATGTACAGGATTGAGTCATTGGAATAAAAATAACGTTCGGCTAATGGTTCATTAAAAGGACATATATGGACGTGTTAAGCAGAAGGTTTCTTGGGGTGATATTTTTTAAACTCCAAATTTTAAAAAGAATCTAGTTGGAGAATTAAGCCCAGGAAAGGAAACCTGCTAGGATATTCCTACCCAGACATCATGATGCACACCCTTCGGCCCTCTTTAATACTACAACTTACTGTAGTAAATGAGAATGCACAGCACTCTCAATGCTTTCATGCCACCCTAATGATGACCCTTCTGCTTTCAAAAGACAGTACTATCTGTAATTTACCTCTGTAACAGGACTATAGAGACCCTAACACCTTTGCTTCTGGCTTTCCCAACTCCTTCTGCTGTTTTCATCTGTAATTAAGAATCTTTGATGTCCTAGAGGATGGACTTATGGACTTCCTTTCCCACAACGTGAGCAATAGAACAAACCCTGAGCCTGGGGAAAGTGAACATTGTGTTGTCCATCAGTATTGGAACTTAGCTTCTCGAGCTGCCACACTCTAGTTTTTCTCTATATCCATGAAAAAAAAAGTAAAAGGTGCACCAACATTCCTCTCCCTCTCCCAAGAGACACATACTCGCTATCTCACGGTTGTGGCATATACCACTTACCTATCCCACGGCTCTACTGCTTACCCAGTATTTTTCACATTTCTCCAGGCAGCCACTGTAAGTCACAGTTTTAGCATCAGATCTGAAACCTGTTCTTCATCCCGGGTCATGGAGCAATTCACCACATAAAGTCGTATGACTTTGTTAACAGTCGTTAACTGTTAGTTTGCAGTGTCCTATTAGTTAGCACTGTACAGTTTAGTACTTAAGATGATTTGTGAATTGTGAACATGTTACTGCCTGTTAACACCATACCAGTACCATTCTTTGTCTTCACTTGCCTTGAAATGCAAAATCACGTGTTGCATAGTTTAATCATTCACATGTTTATGTTCCTGAGTTAGTATTTTTAAACAAAGAGAGCAATATAGATAACATCATTTGTTAGCCCTAAATTTTATAGATATCATAATGCCCTAATATTTTCCTTGTTTTCACCTCATTATAGGGAAAGGAATCCTTAATGGAGATATTAAATGGAATAACTGCATCTTTTTGCCAGTTGTTGTAGGTTGACTTTAATCTTGTCAAAATTGTTTTAAATCATTGTTAAAACATAACTAATACATTGCCTTTGAACCCAGTTAATTTTTTCCAGATATTAAAAGTTTATTTTTTTTTTTAATGTTAAAAGTGGCAATTTATTTTTATTGATCTTTTAGGAAGAAATTTTATAAGGGAACAGAATTGAAAAGTCAGAAAAAGAATAGATTAGGTATCATATATTAGTATTATTTCCAAAAGAAAACACAGTAAAAAGATTGTTTTAGAAGAGTACAGGCATTGTTTCCCACCGTAATAGATCCAGATTCTTTTTGAAATGAAAAAGTGAAATTTTACATCAAGTTTTCATGTTTATGAAATAGTGGGCCCAGAGATGAATATCCAATGTGATCCAAATATATTAGACTAAAATATCCTGTGAACATGGAAATCAATGCATATGACCTCTCTGACTTTTTAATATTGAGCACTTTGAAAGATTGGATCCATATTGTTACGAAATGTAAAAACAGCCTGGCACAGCGGCTCACTCCTGTAATCCTAACACATTTGGAGGCCAAAACTGGCAGATCACTTGAGGCCGGGAGTTCAAGACCTGGCTGGGCAATGTACTGAGGCCCTGTCTCTTCCAAAAGCAATTTAAAAATTAGCCAGGAGAAGTAGTGTGCAACTCTAGTACCAGCTGTTTGGGAGGCTGAGGTGGGAAGATTGCTTGAGCACAGGAGTTCAAGGCTGCAGTGAGCTATGATGGCACCACTGGGCTCCAGCCTGGGAGACAGAGCAAGACCCCGTCTCAAAAAAAAAAAAACAAAATAAAACATAAAAACAGTCTCATAAATATTTCCACTTTGGAACTTGACCCAGTCAGTGGGTTCAAACCTAGTATTTTTAATTAATTGAATTGTCTAGTATAATAAAATCTGATTTGCTTAATGTTGGCTCTGAAGTAATTTGAGTTGCTAATTTATAACAATAGATACAGAGTTGTTTTTTTCTGTCTGCAGCTTAAGATGTGAACTGGGTATTGAAATCCTTAGATTTGCTAACTCTAATTTTACTATTTGTGTCTAGACTGCTCTTTGGCATCTTTCCAAATCATTTTTATTTCCTTTGGGAGAATAAAGACATAACAGCTTAAGAGATGACCATAATTGCTGTGTGAACATGTTTGCCTACTTGGATATAGGCCTGCATTTGTTTTTGTAGTCAGATTTGGGGTAAAGCGCATGGGCTTTTCTAAAATTCTCCCTATCTTAGACCATCAAATGAGGCCTCAAGTGTGCAGGTCAAGTTGCAGTTAGAGATAACATTTAAATGATGTTGCCCACATTGGCCTTTGGAATATGGAATCTCAGCTTAATTTTTTTGTCCTTCCATTAGGACATGTAGCAGATCTGAAAGAGAATTAAACTTGGATTTTCTCTGTTTGGAAGAGAATTGGTAACATATCCAAAGCACTTTCCTTTTCATATTCAAGTCAACTTCAAATGGTTATAGAGCCTACAGGGATTTTATTTAGCAATGGTGAAACTGATCAGTAACCAACAGTTGACTCCTCTCTAGTAGAAAATGTTATGTTTTTGAACATTTGCAGATTTTGAGGTTTATCACAGGTGAGAATCTGTCGTATCTGAGGTTGTTGTTTCAGCATATTTTAGAGTGATTTTCACGTCGAGACACATTAGCTCTCTTCAGGAAAATAACTGCTAAATACAAATTCAGTTCTGTGAGCTGCACATAAAGGTGCTTCAGTCACTTTGTAGGAAAAAAAAACTTCCTAAGGCATGGTTTTATAGTTTTATATCTTGGAAGGTTTTTGGTTGTTTTTATCATTAATGATTCTGCTCTGTCACCCAGGATGGAGTGCAGTGGTACAATCATAGCATGCTTCAGCTTTGAACTCATGGGCTCAAGTGATCCTCCCACCTCAGCCTCTAAGTAGCTGGGATTACAGGTGGGGCTACTGCTCTGCCTGGGAGATATTTAGAGACCCAAGTTTCTTTGCAGATCACTTTCCTTGGTAATAATACTGACAAACACTAGGAGTATTATCTTGCATCTGGTCTCTTCACTTTTATGAGTGCTACGGAACTCATAAGTTGTATTGTGAGCAAGTGTATTTTCAACCTTCTCAGGAAATTTAAGATTGTTAAAGCAGATTTTTAAGAAGTAAAGACTGTATTTAGAAGATAAGTTTGAAGGGAGATTAAATTACAACATCTTTGGATCAGTTGTTTCTTATGGTGTGCAGTAATTAAGCTTTCAGGACCCAAGATACAAATACTAGTTTTTCTGTGTACTGAGCGTAGATGACAATAATATGGACTCATCTCCAGCAGTATAATAGGAAAGTTAATGTGACAGTTTTTCAAAGGTGATGCCTAATTTTAAATACCAGATTACTTTTGTGTCTTAAAAATCAAAGTGTTGATTTTAATGGGTAGAGTTTGGGATAAATAAAATACAGAAGCCTTCCCATTGAAGACTTTACAAAATTATGATAAAGTTGTATACTCTGGTTAATAAAAAATATACATTCAATTTCTAACCTTATATCTCTTGTTTGAGCAAACAGAAAGGTGGATTCTCTAAGGGTCAGAACACTTTTCAGGATGACCCCATTTCTTTTCTTTTCCTTTTTTTTTTTTTTTTGAGACGGAATCTCACTCTGTCACCAGGCTGGAGTTCAGTGGCACAATCTTGGCTCACTGTAACCTCTGACTCCCTGGTTCAAGCAGTTCTCCTGCCTCAGCCTCCCGAGTAGCTGGGATTACAGGCATGCACCACCACGCCCAGCTAATTTTTGTATTTTTAATAAAGGTGGGGTTTCATTATGTTGCCCAGGATGATGACCCCATTTCTTAAGTTGTTGGAAAGAATAGTTTGATAAGGTCCTTCAGTTCCTTCTTCAAACCTCAGATTCCTTTTGTATACTGTTTCTGGAGAGCTCATAAGGAGATATACACTTGCCTTTTAAGTCTAGGAGGAGGAACAGTATTTCTGATACCTAGTTTTGCCTTCCCTTAGGTGGATTTCACCAAGTTATTCCAAAACTTTTCTACTCGCCACAACACATGCCAGCTTTACCACCTTACTCACCTCCCAACAGAGGACTTGCCTCTTTTCCTTATGTAACTGGTAGCTGGGACTATAGTAATTTGTTTCAGTAGCCCCTCTAAACTCACTTAAATAATCTGGTCTCTGCCTCAAGACCAGTGGTTCTCAGCTAGAGTTGATTTTGCTTTCTTCTCCACCAGGGGACAGTTAGCAGTGTTTGGAGCCATTTTTTGGTTATCACAACTTGGTGTGGGGTACTGCTGGCATCCAGTGAATATTAGAGTGCTGCTATTATACTCTATACAGTGGCACCACACCATCAAAGAACTGTCCTCAAATGTCTGGAGTGCCCAGGCTGGGAACCTTGCTCTGATTTTAGGCAGACATATCATGCTGTAGGGTCCCAAGCAAATTTCTCATTATCCTGTTTCACTGAGAACACTGCTTTATTAAAAAGCTTCTCTTTACTGTATTTTTTTAACCACTCCCTCTTCACTGACACCAAATATTCCTGTTAATGTGCTCAAATCCCTCACTTATAAAAAAATAAAATGAAACCTCTCTTTTCTGGTTGCTGGTCTCTTTCTTCTTTTGTAGAATGATCTTTGGGAAGAGTGTTTTCATTTATCTCTGTTTCTTCATCTTCTATTTCTTAGTGCACTGTCGTTGGCTTTCTACCTCACCAGTCCATTGAAATTTCTCCTTCCAAAGTCACCAGTGATCTGTTGACCGAATCTAACAGCCATTTTAATTGCTTATCTTACTTGATAGCACCACAGCATTTAGTGTTAGTGACTACTTTCTTGAAACTACTCCCTTGACTTTGCAGACCACTCTCCTGTGTTCATCACCAGCCGTTCTTTTTCCTCTTTGAATTCCACAACTTCCCACATGGTTCTATCTGTTCACACATGTTCATGCTCACCTGAGCTCACTTAGGACCAACATACATTGATACTCAGCTCTGCCTCACTTTCTGCCTAGATGCCATATAACCATCTCAAGCTTAATCTCTGCATTTTCTCTTCCAAATTCCCACCAAAATTTTTTTCCCTTTTCCCAATGTTTGGCATTCTCATTCTGTCCATCTCCCAACACTCCTTAGTAACAAAGTGCTTTGGATTTTTACTCATTAAACATAAATTTGTATTTCCATGGCCTTTGCCTTGATTCAGTCCCTTTTTTTTGAGACAGAGTTTCGCTCTTGTTGCCCAGGCTGAAGTGCCATGGTGCAATCTTGGCTTACTGCAACCTACGCCTTCCAGTTTCAAGCAGTTCTCCTGCCTCAGCCTTGTGAGTAGCCGGGATTACAGGCACCCGCCATGACCCCGGCTAATTTTTGTGTTTTTAGAAGAGATGGTTTCACCACGTTGGCCAGGCTGTCTCGAACTCCTGACCTCAAGTGATCCACCTGCCTCGGCCTCCCAAAGTGCTGGGATTACAGGCGGGAGCCACCGCGCCTGGTCTTGATTCAGTCCTTTGTGGACAGTTCCAGTGCCTTCAAAACTGTCTTCCAGGCTCAACACTGACAAATACATCTTCTGCAATGCTTACCAGAATGTTTGTTCCAGAATTTTCTTAGGTAAAAAGAGAGTGTAGCATCTGAGAGATGTTTGCCCTCACTTCAAACATCATTGCCTGAGTTTGAAGTGAGGGCAAGTCATTTTTCTTTTTGGTGCTCCAAAATTCTCAGTGGTAATGAACATTTTAATACCAATTTTATAAGGCTGATGTAGGGTTAAATGATTGAGTATAGGTAAAGCCCTTGGAACAATTCTTGACACATAATGTTAGCTGCTATTATTTTATATGATCATTAACATTGTAATACACATCTGAGCGCACCCACCAGAAGTTCTTCATTTCTCTGATAACCTACCAAATAAAATTTAAACTACTTATTCTGACTTGGTAGACTCATCATGATCTAACTCTCTTTACTTTTCCATTCTCTTCTCTGATCTCTGCTGTGAATACCACATGCTTTAGCAAGTTGATATTCTTAGCAGTTCCTCCAGAGTGCTTTTGCTGCTTGACTGTTTCTTCTCCCTGAAATGCTGTCCTCATCTCCACCGTGTAGACTCCTACTTGTTGACCTGTTTGCTTTTTATTCTTTAATGAGCTCTTTGAGGAAAGAGATCTTACTAATGCTCCTAATGCCTACTCATAGTATACATTTAGTAAAAATGTGTTGAAAGCATAAATGAACATTTAAAAAACTAGAAGAGGCTGGGCACGGAGGCTCACGCCTATAATCCCAACAGTTTGGGAGGCTGAGGTAGGAGGATTGCTTGAGCCAAGGAAATTGAGACCAGCCTGAGCAACAAAGGAAGACTCCGTATCTATTTAAAAAAAAAAAAAAAAAAAAACACTAAAAATACTAGGCAGGTGTGGTGTGTGCCTGTGGTTCCAGCTACTTGGGAGACTGGGATAGGAAGATCACTTGAGCCCAGAAGGTCAAGGCTGCAGTGAGCTATGTGCACACCACTGCACTCCAGCCTGGGTGACAAAGCGAGACCCAATCTTTTTCCTTTTTCTTTTTGGAGACAGAGTCTAGCTCTGTTGCCCAGGCTGGAGTGCAGTGGCGTGATCTCACCTCATTGCAACCTTTGCCTCAGTACCAAGTAACTGGGACCACAGGCACTTGCCACCACACCTGGCTAGTTCTTTGTTTTTCTTTTTTTTTTTCAAGATAGGGTTTCACCATGTTAGCCAGGCTGGTCTTGAACTCCTGACCTCAAGTGATCCACCCGCCTTGGCCTCCCAAAGTGCTGGGATTATAGGCATGAGCCATTGCACTCAGCCAAGACCCTGTCTTAAAAACAAAACTGAACAAAATCTAGAAGAATCAAACCACCGAGATCTGGAAATAATAGTTACTTACTACACAAAGCCTTGCACTAGCAACTTCAGCATCACTTGGAAGCTTGCTAGAAGTTCAGAGTCTTAGGCTCAATCCCAGAGTCACTGAATCAGGGTCTGCATTTTTAAAAGAATCTCAGGTGATTCATAGTGTGATAAAATTTGAGAAACAGTGCTCTAGTTCATTTCTCTTTTCCCCAACAAACTTGGGGTTTCATATATTCACAGTCTTATTTTTGACGTTAATATAAATTAAAAGAATTTTCTAAATAAGCTTAGTGACAAGAAAAGTAAAACAAATTTTAAAATACAGTTAAACTGAATAATGATTTTTTTTTTTCTCCTAAGACAACAGTTAGCAGAAGCCGTATGTATAGTTGTTTGGCTGTAAGGAAGGGGAGATCATATTTTAACCAGAGCTGCTCCTTTGTGTATTTAAGAGTTTTATTTGATACTACCTCTGATAATATTAGAGTCTTGAGAGTATGTCTTATATGAATATTTTGGTTTTGCCTATAGATTGAATTTCATGAAATATTGAGATGGAAGGCTGTGGATTGGGATTGAGGAAATACCTTTTTAGACTTCTTTAGTTCTTTCTGAGTTTTTTGACAGCCTTCCCTAAGTTTATCCTATGCCTCACTTTACCTTAGCAGATACTGGCAATGTGCCCATAAGGAGAAAATAGAATTTAGTAAAATGAGAAAGGTTTTTAAAAAGTGTCATTGATAAATAAGATGAAAAGATTGGAAAGCATCAAAACTTTATTATTTAAAAGTTAATGTAAGCACTATGTTCAGCTCAAACACCTTAAGAGATATGTATTCTGTGCTTAAACATCAACATACAGACTTGCATGTTGTTACATGGCACAACTTTTGTGGAGTAAATGTTTCAGTCACAGTATTAAAGTTTCTATGAAAATACTTTTTATAAAATGGGAAATGTGATATTTTAAATCAATGGGCCTGAGAAAAATAGTTTAAAGTTAAATGTTTTTAACAGATTAATATAGAATTCCAAGTTTCTTTTTAGATTATTTGAAATAGTTTACAAAATATTATTTTAAACATACTTTCAACTCTTTTCAAAAACTCAAGTGTAGATGCCTGAGGGGCGAGAGAGAAAGAGAGTATGTTACCACGTTTATCATTGGACTATAGAAGCAAATTTATACTCCATTCAGCAGGTACTTATTGAGGAATATGTATATTTCAAGAGTCTTGATAGATAAAAGTTGGTGACAGTAGGTCATTGAGAAAAACATTATGGTATTGACAGAACGCAGTCCCTGCCTTCAAGGAGTTTACCTTTTAGTGAGAGACAGCCAGTGAACTATATTTCAGCGTAATATATGAATTGCTGTAACAGATGGGTACATAAGATACAACTAGAACATAGAGAAAGGACACTAGTTGCTAGATTTTCATTAGAAGATGCATTTTTATTTCAGCAAATCAACTTCCTAAGTCTCAATATCCTCATCTATAAAAACGAAAATAAAAAGTACCTGGAAGACTTATTTTGAGGGTCAAATGAAAATTCATATGCAGTGCTTAGGACAGTACACAAAACAGACTGATTGCATAATAAATGTTGGCTGTTAAAACTTAGTGGTGATAACGTAGAGAATCTTTCCTTCTGTCTTTGTGATTTCTTCTTCCCTTCCTGTTTTTCTTTTTCTCTTTCTTTAGTAGTCACAACTCCCATCCATGGATTTGAAGGAAACATTTCTAATATCATGGAGGTCAAATTCAGGTTTCTTTGGATATTTTTTTTCTCCTGTTGTCCCCTCCCTGTCCACCCAGTATGAATAACCCTAGTCTCCTCTTTAACTTTGGAAAGTTTCCAGAACAGTGATGACAGGGTCCTTTTATAGTATAATGTCATGTGGGCCGGGCACGGTGGCTCACGCCTGTAATCCCAGCACTTTGGGAGGCCGAGGTGGGTGGATCATGAGGTTGGGAGATCGAGTATGATGTCATGTATTACTCAAGACTTGTACTGTCCAATATGGTGGCCTTTAGTCACATGCTGCCATTTAAATTCATTAAAAATTCAGTTCCTTAGTCACACCAGCCACATTTAAATGCTCAACAGCCATATTTAGCTAGTGGCTACCAAATTGAGAACATTTTCAGGAAATCCTTTTTAATAGCATTACCCTAGAAGAGCAACTGCTGATAACATAGGCTGTTTACCTTACAATTATGTGATTCAGAATTATCTGTCCTAAACTATATTAAAAAAAATTTTTTTTAATTCTCACTTGTGGTTATTTTCCATTAAGGAGTTACCATACTTGGCAATGCTGATTTTTATTTTTATAAATATAAATTCTATATTGATATTTCCATTTGTGTTTTAAGACTTTTATTAAAGTGTCTTGGGGTGTTTTTTTCAATTATAATTCAGTGAAGTTTTCAGACTCTTTTAAGCCACATCTTTAAAATGCTATTTCTGATTAAAGATAACGTAACGTAACGTTGCGATAAATGTGTTTTGCTTTACAATAAATATATAGACTGCTTTAATCCTTTCTTCTTCAGTCTTTTATGTATTATATTTGCCTTTTCTGAGCAACTCAGCTTGGTTTTTTCCAAATACAGACAGTATTCAGTTAGGGTGTTTCATACACCAGCTGCCATTTCCATCTATGCTATTACCTGTGGCAGACACACACACATGCTGACAGACAGTTTTGAGTCGGTCAGTCCATCCTTAAGATTACCAAAAGTCCAGAAAGATTATCTACTGACTGTGACTGCCACTGTGCAGATTTCACATTCAGTTTGAAGTGTTCAGTTATATATAACATTCTGGATCAGTTAATCAAGAACTCATCCATAATGCTTCCGGAAGTCTCCTCATGTGTAGCTGTCAGGATCTTTCCAGAGAGACTTTTTAAAAAATTCTGTAAGCCTAAAATGATGTTTCCTGCTTTCTGATTTGTTGCAATATAAACAGATATTTACAGATATATAAGTAAATCCTGAGTTCATTTTCATAATGTGAACTACATTATTGCCATGTTGACCTGTTCAGTTTACTGTATACTTTATGAAGTCATATTCTCAACAATATATAGAGATACCAATTATTGCTAGTAATTAGTTTTGTATTTTGAAAGATTGGGCACCACTTCAGAGTTGAAGAGAAAGTGAATAACGTTCAATGTTTTTAACTATATCTTGGAGTTAGTAAACATCATAGAGATCACTGGCCCTATTTTTTTATGAAAGAAAAAATTTGAAAGAGATTGTGATTTACAGTCATTGGCCTAGATAGCAGTTTCCTTTTTTTTTTTTTTTCGACAGAGTCTCACCCTGTCACCCAGGCTGGAGTGCAGTGGCATGATCTCGGCTCACTGCAGCCTCCGCCTCCCAGGTTCAAGCAATTCTCTTGCCTCAGCCTCCTGAGTATCTGGGATTATAGGCACATGCCACTGCGCGCAGCTAATTTTTGTATTTTTAGTAGAGACAGGGTTTCAACTTCTTGACCAGGCTGGTCTTGAACTCCTGACCTCGGGATCCACCCACCTCAGCCTCCCAAAGTGCTGGGATTACAGGCGTGAGGCAATGAGCCCATTCAGCAGTTTTCTTTTTTAATATATACTTTATTCCCAAGATTGCATATAATTAAATATTTACAGTTTACACATCTCTATAGAAATTCAATGAAGAATTTGAATTCAGAGAGACTCAAAAGAGGGCAAGTTACTTCATGTCTCATTGTCTTCGTTTTTTTAAATGTAAAATGGGCCAATTTTTGTATTGCGCGTTAAGTATTTGTTTTGAAGACCTAAAGAGTAATACATGGTACAACACATGGCTGAATCTTGAAGATACTGTGCTAAATGAAAAAAAGCCAGACACAGGCCGAGCATGGTGGCTCCCACCTGTAATCCCAACACTTTGGGAGGCCTAGTGGGGTGGAGCACTTGAGGACAGGTCAAGACCAGCCTGATCAACTTGGTGAAAACCCGTCTCTACTAAAAATACAGCAAAATTAGCTGGGCGTGGTGGCATGCACCTATAGTTCCAGCTACTCGGGAAGCTGAGGCAGGGGAATCCCTTGAACCTGGGAGGCGGAGGTTGCAGTGAGCCAAGATCGCGCCACTGAACTTCAGCGTGGACAAGAGCGAAACTTCATCTCAAAAAAAAAGAAAAAAGCCGACACAAAAGAGCACATATTATGATTTATTTATATGAAATGTCCAGAAGAGCCAAATCAGTAGAGACAGAAAATAGATAAGTGGTTGCCACAGGCCTAGGGGTTGGAGGGTGGGTGGGAAGGAATGGAGAGTGACTCCTGATGAGTACAGTTTCCTTTCAGCATAATGAAAACGTTCTGAAATTAGTGGTGATGGTTACACATCGCAAATATACTTACAAGTACTGAGTTGTATACTGCAAAGTGTGAAATATATGTGAATTTATACCTCACTAAGAAAGCAAAGCAGTAATGCATGTAAAGTACTTAGCAGGTACCTGTTACATAATAAACTTTTTTTTTTTTTTAAGAAATGGAGTCTCACGCTGTCTCCCAGGCTGGAATGCAGTGGCACCATCTTGGCTCACTGCAACTCCACCTCCCAGGTTCCAGTGATCCTCCCACCTCAGTCTCCCAAGTAGCTGGTACTACAGGCATGTACCACCATGCCCGTCTAATTTTTGTTATTTTTAGTAGAGGATTTCACCGTGTTGGCCAGGCTGTCTCAGTAAGCTGTCTTCATAAAGATTTTTGGCTACTGTTATTAGGAACCAGTTATGAATTTTAAGAAAATAATGCCAAAAAACTAGGACGTATAGGCTGGGTGGAGTGGCTCATGTCTGTAATCTCAGCACTTTGGGAGACCCAGGTGGGTGGATCATCTGAGGTCAGGAGTTCAAGACCAGCCTGGCCAACATGGTGAAACCCCATCTCTACTGAAAATAGAAAAATTAGCTGGGCATGATGGTGGGCACCTGTAATCCCAGCTACGCAGGAGGCTGCAGTGGGAGGATCACTTGAACCTGGGAGGAGGAGGTTGGAATGAGCCGAGATTGTGCTATTGCTCTCCAGCCTGGGAGACAAGACTGAGACTCCATCTAAAAAAAAAAAAAAAAGGAAGAAAAACTAGGAAGTATAATCTTTAGTATTTATTTTATTTTATTTTCTGAGACAGAGCCTGACTCTGTTGCCAGACTGGAGTGCAGTGGCACGATCTCGGCTCACTGCAATCTTTACCTCCCGCGTTCAAGCGATTCTCTTGCCTCAGTCTCCCAAGTAGCTGAGATTACAGGTGCGCGCCACCATGCCCAGCTATTCTTTGTATTTTTAGCAGAGACAGGATTTCACCATGTTGGCCAGGATAGTCTTGATCTCTTGACCTCATGATCCACTCGCCTTGGCTTTCCAAAGTGCTGGGATTACAGGCGTGAGCCACCACGTCCGGCCCAGTATTGTAGTTTATTTTACTACCTGAAATACGAATGATTTAACCACTAATGGCATATTTTAATTACTTTTTCAGTAGTAGAATGTAAAAAGGAGATTTACTAACACTAGTTTCCAAATGCAGGTATTAATCATAGTGAGTTTTTTCAGGAAAGAATCTCATGTTTTAGTCAGTATTACAGTACAATTTCAACATTTTTCTTAATATAAAAATATATGCCATTAAAATGGTAATTTTGTATTGTGTAAATTTTACCATGATTTTTTAAAATAATAAATACTAAATTTTGTAAGAGTTTTTAATCCTTGAGAAGCCTTCTTGCCATGTGTATAGTCCTGTCCTTTTTATTATTTCAGAAAAAGGTAATCATAGTGATAGAAATCTTTAATGATGGCAGTTTATGTGTATCTTTTGTATGGGCTTTTAAAATGAGTATTATTACAGCTGACACCTAATACACCTATCTACTTAGGTAATAAATGGGGTAATAAATTTAAAGTATGGAAGTAAATTCCATACCTTAAATTAATCTCATGCTGTTAGTGTGACAAAATAGAATCAGTGCTGTTAGTCCGGGGTAAAGTGATGTTTTAGCTTCTCTTCTCAGCGTTCATAGTGCTGCCAGTAACTTAAAGAGTATAAGATGTTCTGCTTAACTCTTAGAATCTGTAATGAAGAGCTACTATAGATCTTCCCGTGATGCTGGTAGCAGAAAAAAAATAGTTTTTGTTTTAAGGGCTTACATAAGATAGTTGAGGCAAATAATTCACTAAGGATAGCCCCAGTGGCTACAAATAGTTCTTGATGTATGATGTTTGCTCAGATATGTGTTTGATAAATTTATTTACAGGTATTCATTGAGATGCAATTTGATGATAATTAAATACATAAATTGTGATAGCTGTTTATCAAGCCAATTTTATATGCTAGCATCTTGTTTGAGTGAGAGATTGGGTGGGGATGGAGATAGCAGGAAATTCTCTAAGTGTTATTGCCTTCAAGGAACTTGGAAAGTTGGTGGGCGATGGGGAGGATACTAAAGAATGGTGTAATAAAACACAAGGTTGAATGTAGCCAAGTGCTTCAATACTTGGTGAAGGTGCGAAATGTTCCATATGGAGAGAAAAGAATGCAGTGGTGACTAGATTTATGGTAGAAATGGGACTTGGGGTAGGCCTTGAAGGACTATCTTAAAGGCTAAGAAAGGGTAAAAGGTACTTCCATGAAGGGATGCTGATCAGTTATGAGACCAACTAGAGCAAAGGTGTAAAGCCTGCTGGTCAGCCCCTCGAAAGTTAATGAAATGTGAGCCCCATCTGGCTGGAGCTGGGAAGTACACTTTGGGAGAAGGTGACAGACATGATTAGATTGGTTAAGTGAGATGGGCTTATACAGAATCTTCAGCAGCGGAATTGGAGTAGTTCACAGTTCACAGACTCCTGGAGGAGGAGTGAGGGAACTTAGTATAGGTTCCCAAACTGAAAGATGAATTGGTGTTTAAGGAGAAATTAATTTGCTAGTTTTGTGTAGGGTGTGAAAATGGGGTTGGAGAGACTAATAAATGGGTTTGCTCCATAGTGCCCCTGTGTGAGTTACACGCTTTTTTTTTTTTTTAAAGCAGTGCAGTGGCACAATCTCAGCTCACTGCAGTCTCTGCCTCCCGGGCTTAAGTGGTTCTTGCCGCCTCAGCCTCCTGAGTAGCTGGGACTGCAGGCACATGCCACCATGCCTGGCTAATTTTTTGTATTTTCAGTAAGGACGGGGTTTCACCATATTGGCCAGGCCAGTCTTGAACTCCTGACCTCAAGTGATCTACCTGCCTCAGCCTCCCAAAGTGCTGAAATTACAAGTGTGAGCCTCCGCACCTGGCTGGGTGTACACCTTTATATGACACATAAGGCTGGGCCTAGGCAGAATTATAAGTAGATTATTGCCTTGTGCCTTTTTTCCCCCCACTATTTACCCTGTGTCTCTCTTCATTGTCTCCATAGACCCTGATATTATAATAGATTGTCTAGCTATCATAATAGATTTTAGACAATCAGCTGTTATTCAGTCAGTTTGTGATTTGGGGGATAAATTCCTTAAAACACA